GATGAACGGGCTGCCTCTTCTAATAGAGGGGTATTTTTGGATATGGTGGAATACACCGCATCCCTAGATACAGTATTGAGAGATCATCTTGATGCCGCAACTGTTTCGAAAGGGACATCTAAGGATATCCAAAATGATTTGCTCGACTCAATGTATAAAATTTATTTACAAAATTTGGCTCTGGAAATTGAGAATTGCCAGTTCCTTTCGATTCAGTCTGACGAGACAACTGACATCACGTGCGTTTCCCAACTGGCTGTGATTTTTCGGTTTGTGAAAGATGGCAAACCTACCGAGAGATTTCACAGCTTTGTACCAATCGTTGATCGCACGGCTTGCGGGATATCGGCTGTACTGAAAGAAGTGTTACAGCCTTACAACGCGAAGTCAAAATTGATAGCTCAAACCTATGACGGCGCGGCAGTCATGAGTGGGTCGAAACATGGTGTTCAAGTTTATATAAAAGAAGATTTTCCTCATGCGCATTTTTTACATTGTTATGCACACCAATTTAACCTCGTTATTAAAAATATGTGTCTTGATACGCCTCTCGTCCGTATATTTTTTGCAAATGTTTCGGGGTTTTCTTCATTTTTTTCCGTTTCGCCGAAGCGCTCTGACCTCCTTCGCCAGATATGTAGCCGCCGTCTCCCAGCTTGTGCACCAACACGTTGGAACTTCCAATCACGCGTGGTGCAGGGCGTGTCCGAAATTAGGTCTGAGCTCATTGAGTGTTTCAATGGCATTCAGAGCTATCCGGTTTGGGACGAACGCTCTGTGAGGGAGGCGGCAGGTCTAAGGCGTCTGCTAGAAGATGGTGAGTTTTCATTTTTTCTCGCTTTTTTCTCCACAATATTCTATCACGTGGATGTATTATACGGCGCATTGCAGTCAAGGCTAATGGATGGAGCGTCTGCGCAGTCGTGTATTTCAGACTTCTGTGATGCTGTATCTCGTATCCGGGAAACAAAAAAATAGACGACACATGGAGTGCTTCTTTACGCCGCGGGCAAACAACGCAGCGTTTGATTTTGTCTGCAAAGGAATGCTGTGACATTCTGGTGAATCAAATAGGCGATCGTCTGCGCACTGAACACCTTGCCGCGTTCTCTTTGATGAACCCCTAAAAATTTTTCAAAATTTGCACGTCAATTTCCCATCCATTTGTTGGCTACTGTCTCCAAATTTTACCCCATGATAAACGTGGGTAAATTGGAAAATGAATTGCGATGTATATACACCAATCAAACTTTTTTGAACATCACATCAACTTGCGCGCTCTATGGGTTCCTCATAGATAACACTCTAGTAACTACCTTTGCGGCGTCTGCAAAATTTCTGGACATCATTTTGACGACGCCTATTTCTTCCGCCGACGCAGAGCGAACATTTAGCACGCTGAAGCGTATTAAAACGTATCTCAGAAACACAATGAAGCAAGATAGATTAAATTCCTTGGCTGTTTTATCCATTCACAGAGACGTTATTTCTGGTATGCATGACTTTAATCAGCGCGTTATTGAGCATTTTGCTTCCAAAAAACCGCGGCGTGTTGCATATATGTTCAAGCAGTAGAAGTCTAGCAGCATATATATCTATGAGTGAGCGACGCATGTCCTTATCTTTGCATTAACTTTCCTTTCTTCATAGTAACGTTTTGAACCTTATTTTAGGTTTTGTCTGCTTTCCCGAAGTTTCTGTTAATATGTCATTGTGTTTATCTGGGTAAATATTGCCTTTCCTTTTGAAAGAGGTTTCAAAATAAACTATGTCTATATTTATTAATCCCTTGACTTGGACCGGTTTTAAAGACACTTTCTTATCGTTAAAAATTGTCGCTTTTGCCGATTGGTTATTACCGATGGAATGGTTTTTATACTCATAAAATGATGGGAGAACTTACAGCGCTCATCCTGTCCCCGTAGATGGGGGTGACTTGGTCCCGCAGTAGCTTGCCCCAGTTGTCAAAATGACCACGCGCCGCCACTGGTAGATGGGTATAATCTTTTCCACGCTGTTCAGATGGGAATGCGCGAATATATATAAGAATTGCTAATATTGGTTTGCAATGCGATGCGATCTTGGCATTTCTGCCTCTCGCAATTGCTGCGTATACTTATCGGGGAAGTTCTTAAAACATGGGAGTATTTTTTCTACTTTTCTACTACTATCAAACCTTGACATTTTGTGGAAACTTTTTCCCATGCAACCTTTTTTTAAAACATCCCCAACAACCACAATTAATTCTGTTATTAAACTTCCGAAACAAACACATAAAATCATCAACAGATGCATATCACCAAGTAGATATTGCTGAATTGAACTTTATTTTACCATTTTTCATGTAATTCTTTTTGGTAAACCTGTCATCTATCGTAAATACAGCACATTTGACAATGTTGTAGTGTGACTATTTCGGCTTAACATTTTCGATATTTGTAGTTAGAGCTCTTGGGGCTCTGTCAAACAAAGTTACATACAAAACATTGGTTGTAAATTGCAAAACATAATCATGTTGTTGGAAGAACTTGGCATTTTACCACCCGTATATCATTCATTGTTGAGAATATTAATAAAATCATAAAATTTAAAAATCCGTTTTCGTGAAATTTTTGTTGTAGCTGAATTCCAGGGACAGCATGACAACAGGCAAGAGAAGCACGGTCGCCTCTTTTAGTTTATGACAGGGTTTTGTGAAAGGGGACCTCGTCCTCCTTAGAGGCCGCTGATCGGTTATCTGGGAGCACGAACAAACAGTTGGAAATGAGAATATATAATAACAATGTATTTTTATAGAAGAAAAGAAGCAAAAGTGTTGAGGTCTTTGGTAGTTTGAAAAGCATTGGCATGGAACATAAGAATGAACTACATTCTTTCCCATGGATATACTATAAAATGTAGCAATTTTCTCATTCTTGTACTCGTGATATCATTATCTTTCACTGCGTCGTCGTGATCATCCCGCTGCATAACAATTCTCGCTAACAAATAATTGACTGTTCTCCACCGGGTGTATATCCACTTGAACCACTGGCGACTGCATTAGCAGGCTTGTATTGTTAATTGCAACAAAAACGGGTATTTTGAAATAGTACTCTTTATTTTACGCGTATGTTTCGACAGTATTTCCATATACTGTATATGGGTGGCGACCCAAAGCTGGGCTCAACAAATACCTAAAAGTTATTGATTTTATTTCCTAGTAAATTTGGTGCTTGCGTAGTTTGTGCACCAAGATTGCGCACAACCTGAACATAGTATTGTAACAGGTTATGGTTCAGGCTGTGCGTCATTATGATGCACCGGTTTGACGAAAAACACTAATACAAATATCGAGCCGTAAAAAAATTGCTCAAGGCTGCAAACTCCACACCCATGTAGAAATGATTGGCAATGACCCCAAGATGAATAATCACAAATAAAAAAAACTTTATGCCTGAAATCAAACTTGGGCCAAAAAGGTCCCCTTATCTGCCGGACTACTAGCATATCAACATCTTTTAATTAATGTTTACCAATTTTATATTTTTAGTTTATTCAAAAATTGTATTCATTCAATCATAAATGCGATTAAATATAATTTATAAAGATGCAAATCAAATTCTTGTCTTGAAGACAAATGAAATCGTGGGAAAAGAGCAATGCTAGGCCCTAGGATTAACCGAATCGGTTGATAAAATTACTGGACGTTCAGAAACATTTGTATTTAAAGATGCCAAGATTTACCGAGCAAAAGCTGGTGCTGACAGTGAAATCGATTGCAATATTAGTGTATTGCTTTCGGAACTGGGAATCTTTGAAAAGAGTCGATTCAAATGTTTGAAATGACGAATATAAAACTGTATCAAGGAATACACAAATTACAGTAAATGAGTCAATTGAATTAGATATGGAAGCATTCAAACAATCTAGAACCAGGACAGTCTTTTACAATCGTGTCAGGAAGTGTGGAAGTAGAACTCTTATGGCGTTAGTTAACCGTCTGTCGGGTCGCAACAATTTTTGGGTACAGGAATCACTGGTAACGGCAGTTGAACATCCAGGTCTTTGTGATGATGGCAATTAATAACCTTGTGCCACCCTCGTTTTACAACAGGCATATATATTCAATATTTAGATTTCAAACGATATCATCTCAAGGAAGCCTATTTATACTAATTAAGAACTTATTAGCGTCTTCTAACATGCATAAGTACATATGTATTCCCGAAAAACAACGATCCGCAAAAGTACTCTCGTAGTATGTGTACTACATTTGGGTTAGGCAATAATTTTATTCAGATTTTTCTTATTTTGGTTCAATTACGAGTTCAGGGACTGTCTGTGTTGGCCAACTGAATACACCCCCGCCTATAGATTTCAGTCCCTTTACACAAATTGATGTAAAATAGGCGAACAAAATTTCGGTACTCTCGTAATGTGTGTACAAGGATAGGGTTAGGCCATAATTTAATTCCGAATATACCCGCTGTCCTTAGGTTTCAGTCTCTTTACACAACTTGATGTAAAGGAGGCGAGCAAAATTAGTTACCTCCATTTTGGTATATATACATACTTTTGGAGCGCCCTAAATTTTAGATAAACTCAAATACGATTTCTGTCATTACGTAAGGTAGTAAAGTCTTATAACTAGCTAGTTGACTTTTTTGTGAAAATCTGTTGTGGGACAGCCTTTTTCCAGAATAAGATGTATCTTGGCGATATAGCGAACTGAGCGAAAGAAATTGCACGTCTAACGCAAAACTAATGCCTGGATAAATATTTGTGGTGATACATCCACAATCTTATCTTTTTCTTCCCCACTCTACTTTTGACTTGGACTTCGTGATTTTATCCCCGTTAACCACCTAGACTTACATTTTACGCAGTTAAACTATAAAATAACATGAATTTTAACTTTGCTCATGATCTTCGCCTGAGGGACTTCAATGAAATTGACAGTGGTCCTAAAAATATTCCTACCAGTACGACCTATGCCTCGGCTTATTCCAAAAACGGAATCAACTTCAATTGTATGATATTCAATTTTATCTACAATAAAAGTATCAAAAGAAGAGTCAATGAGTTGGCACTTTTGCATGAAAATAAGACATATAAATAATACGTCTGTTTACAAAAAATTGCCAAAAGCAAAAAGTCAAAATGATACAGAACATACTATAACTACAAGTAAAAATGGAAAGTAAAAATGGCAACTATCATTCTTCATGCTTGACCAAAAACATTTCAACATCTGTAATAAATTATTATGAACTGAGAAGAAGAAAGTTTATAGTTCAATAAGCTTCCCAAAAACGAAACTAACAGAGAAATTTCTGGAATGAGAGAAATGATGGATTGTCTATAGTATAGGCACACCAGATTTTATAATGTATTGTCACTTGTCAGCAAGTGCTGTTATGTAAGTCAGTGCTTGGTAAAAAATTATCTAAATGCAAGAAGAGAGCGTCCAATCTCCCGTTATACTTGAACAAATTGCATTACAATAGACAAAAAAATAGTTATATCAATTCAGAACAAAAATGATGGACAGAAAAAGGATCAATAAGAATGGTAAAGATAATTTTTTGTACTAAAATGAGAATGCTACTGGACTGGTATAACAAGATATAAAACAAAATGTAGCTTAGCACATGAGAAGAATAAGATGCCAATGAATCTATGTTGTACATGCTAGAACTGAGGAACAAATCTGAAATGTTCAGAAACATAAAGCGGAAAGATAGATCTCAAGGGATAATAGAAAAATACATTGGATCTGTGAAATCTTTACAGGATTACAGAGACAGCCAAAAGTTTATATTAGTCTGTGAGATATAAAATATAAGTCAAGAGTCAAGACACATGTTTATGGGGTAAAGTTGCAATGTTATGATTATGGCCCAGTAAGAGAAGCCACTCTGAAAACGAATACATTTTGAATTAGATTTACAAAATATTTATACCACCTACTGGTATAGATATAGAAATTAGTATACCGCACACCATCAGCTGTTATGTAAAAGACACAAATTTGGCAAGGAAGGCTTTTGTTAATACAATAACCATCTACATCCTAGGGCAATAAGGTAATTAATTCACAATAAAAGAAGGTTTTAACACCTTCAACCAACCCCAATTGCTGTATAATCTAGTACATGCTAATTTGTACAAGAAATTGTCATTTAGAAATGAATTACCGCATAAAAATTCTGTTTCTACAAAGATCATGTTGTCTACTTACGTACTTAGTGAATATACGTTTGACATATCGACATACAACTGAATACAGTTAATCCAAGCCTTCCCACACAGTAAGGGAATCTGAGACTATCTAAGGAAAATATCTGGGAATATTTTCTGTATCATTTTCGAACAAATGGATCAACAGTCTTTGATTATAAAGGGGCAATAGAATAGAAACAATATATGAACAATTTTTTCATATCACAACATAATAATGCAAATAACAAAATAAATAAAAGATGATAAGTCGTCTTTTTGTATAAACAACAAAGATATACATTTTTAATTTTAAAAAATTTCGAAGTGCAGTAAATACATAAGTTTGGAACTTACTGCAAGTACATTTGAAAGTAAAATAAGATCACCTGTTCAAAAAAGCAAATAACATAATAAATAAAGAGCAAATAGATTGTCGGAGACGATACTTCATTCACTCCTGTACTGTATAATTCATCCCCATACCACTTCTCATACTGAAGGGAACCTGTTTTACATCTTTTCACGTTGACCAGACACAAATATGCCTTTGACAAAAGTGATTTGATACAGTGCATATTTAGTTTTGTATTTAATATCACCACACTGTGGTATTTATGGATGATGTGTCTGTCTGTTATATTTCTTGAGTAAATCATCCAATTCTTTTGCTTTCACCTACAATGAAGAAAAGCTACTAAGTACAGTCATAGCTAAGGAAACATACTTGCCCATACCCTGACATGAGTATTGGGCCCGTTGGATAATTCAATCTGGCCCGCCTGATGTTGCCACAATCAAACTAAAACCAAATTTTGATGTTTTGACTAAAAAATAGCTCAAGGAATTTGTAAAATTTAGTTTGGGCACGAAGCTTATTGTTTTCTACTTTTGTAATACTGAGTCTGTAAATATTGTTCAGAAAATGTAACTTTGTACGCCACACTAAACCTTGCCCACCCCTGCTATATTCTATACATCCCTATATTGAACAGCTCAGATGAACCGACTTCATTTTGCATCAGAGAATACAATTTTCCATTATAGTTAACTGTGTTTCACACAGAGAATATTACAAAGTGTACTATGGTTTTTACCTAAACCAAACACAACAGAACGCCCAATATCACATTTCAGCTACCAAGGTGGCAGGCACGCCAAATTAGTTGATATAAATATGGCTTTTCAATCTAATTATATTTCATATATATGTATATATAATGTTTGAATACTATCCTAATTAGAAATGAGAATTAAGGGATAATAAAGATGGCTAACTAATAATCAGATGTGAAAAGTATATCACGATTCATTATATCAAACTATTTGAGCATTTTTAATTCATAGGTCACAAAAAATATTAAGTTTACCTTTCTGTGCTGTGAACGAAGTGATCTGTTGGATTTAGCTGATTTGCTACTATGAGCAGACTTGTTACTATTACGTGATGATGCTCTCTTCAATAAATTCTGTGATATGGACCTGTGGTATGCAAGAATACTACTTATCAGTATGCTACTTAGTACTTAATAACATATTGTTAACAAAATAAAAAAAAACTTTGAAGTGCAATGACAGTTTCTGTTTCAGTGCACAGTCATACACACTCACAAGCACATCATAGAAGTGAAAAAGGTTGATTTTCAAGAGACTATATGAAACAAAAATAAAGTTGAAAATCAACCGCCAAGATTGCTGTAGGCCAGCAGAGAGAAATGAAGTCCCTTGTAGGACTTATTTTTCTTTGACATTCTTGCTATGTTATATTACAACTATTTTAGAAAGATCCCAAATTGCAAGTATGGCCTCACTCGATGTTTCCAAACAAAGAAAAAGTTTGTTTAATGACAACAAGGATTCACACCTTCGTATGTGTATGACAAAGTGGAACATACAAAACAATTAAAAAGGTTTGAAACACGATACCACATGACCTCAATGTAATGAATAGCAGAAAAGGACAATGGTATGAATTTATTCAGTAAAAGCTCCTTCTTTTCTCAAAAAAATAAGGATTTAGCTGGGCCCAAGCATGGCAGCTTTACCTATCTAGGAATCTCACTAAAATATACATGAGCAAAAGCTTCAGATTTTATAAAAGGCTAAAAATTATATTTGTAGGTTAAAATGAAAATAATCAATTTTGCAACATTGCCATGTTATGAAATTTATTTTACCTTTGCAAGTTTCTGTTCGAAAGACTGGTGAAGTTAGTTATCCAAGGGTGTTCAAGTGCAGCAGAACAAGACATTCTTTCTCTAGGGTTCACCGTCAAAAACGATCTGACGAAGCCTTTGGCAGTTTCAGACACGTGGGGCCAAGGCTGTAAATATGACCCATATGATCAAAAAAGCACTTTATACTTTACTGATTAATAATAGGACATGAAACAAGAGTTCTAGATACAATAAAAATACTTCCCATTACCTATGTAAATTATTGGGTTAGTTATACCCTTCATATGTACATGTCTATAGATTTCCTTTAAATTGACTGATATTTTACTCAATTAGCAAAACTCAATTTCATGAAAATGCTGATTATGTATCAAGATCAGTTATAGAGAAATTCCAAAAAACAAATAAAATATATTTCCGATGTTTTTACCTCGCCATTAAAATTATAATCTCCTTGTAAAATCATTGTGTAAAGTCGTGTTTTATTTTCATCATCGAATGGCATAGTTCCACTCAAAAGAATATAAGTAATAACGCCAACAGACCAACAATCAACCATATTTGTGTAACTTTCTCTTTGTAAAACTTCAGGTGCAATATATTCTGGAGTGCCGCAAGTTGTCTTCATAGTAACATCACCACCAGATTTTCGAGAGGACGCAAGACCAAAATCAGTAATTAACAGTTTGGAGTCATTTCCAGGATGATAATACAATAAATTCTCTGGTTTCAAGTCCCTATGTGTAATTCCCAGACTATGAAGATAACGAAGTCCTTCTAGCACCATTTGTAAGGCTTTTGTAGCGTCTTTTTCAGTAAAGCTACCATGTCTTATAATTCGATCGAATAATTCACCGCCTGTGGCAAGCTCCATGACCATATAAATTTTATCAGGTGCTTCAAAAACCTCTATTAGTTGCACAATGTAAGGATGTCTTACTCGACGTAATACACGCAATTCTGAATCAGCTGCAGCTCGGCCCTCACGAGCTTTCACCTCAATCATTTTAATTGCATATGGTTGTTTTGTGCCTTTATGTTCAACTCTCACAACCCGGCTGAAACTGCCTTTGCCAATTAATGCTCTGACATCATATTTTACAACGACTCGAGGATCAAATTTTGCACGATACTTAACAATTTTATTATTGTTGTTTGTTGCATTTTTATTGAATTTCTTTTCGTCAATATCACTTTTGTTTGTTCCCCCAACATTATTTCCATTTACGAATGCAAGTTTGGCTGAGTGAATGCTGTTTCTTTTTGCATCATTTGTACTATAGGCGTCTATGGTCTTCTTCGATTTGGCATCTTTGCTCCCTGTGAAAACAATTTGTCAGAAATTGAACAATTTATATTTTATAAATAAAAAATGAATTTGCCATTCTTGTTCATGAACTTTAATATTTTATTTTTTTTTAATATTTCAAATATATTTAAAATAATATTATATCAAAAACTCTGAATATAGTGGTTAAGACACAATGTACAATCAGCCTCGGGCAAACCAATTTTTCAATTTAGTCATTCCACTAATTATCAGCTTGTTATAGAGCTACTGACAAAGACCTACTCTTGCCTCATTGCTTAAGCCAACAATTAAAACCTAAGTGAATTACAGGTATTCTTCCGAAACATGAATACTGCAGACAAGGAAATGTTGATGACAGGTATTTAGGCACAGAAAATAATCACTCAATGTTTTGCATATAATCAACACAATTTGGCATGTTAAAGTTTCTTTTCAGGTTAGAAACTAATACATTTTATTGCAATCTTTTCATTATTGTTTTGGCCTGAACTGCTTGAGTTTCTTGCCATCCTTCATTTATTCAATATAAATGCAACAGCTATTGGCATTTCAGTGGGCTGTGAAATTTAGCTCAGAAATGAGTTGCCTTCACTTCTGAGTGAGCAGACTCTGCTTTTTCTGAGGAAAATTTTGAATATACTGCACCGAAGAAAAGTAATTCATATTGGAACGTTCAAATCTAATTGCAATACAACAAGCAAGGATTCAGTCAAGTTTATCAATACCTAATATTATAATTCAAAATAAATTCTATCTTGCTTTCTGTCGTCCAATGGATTTCAGAAGATTTTTCAATCAATTTGTAAAAAGGTTGGATTATTATACATCAAAGTTTTATCACAAAACAATGATCAAAAGCATCTAGAACTCCATTAATTATAAGAGTATATATTACTATTTAATATAGTCTGAAATTCAATTAATAAACAAAGCCCAGTCATTGATCATGTAAGTATATGTAAGTACTTATATAGGATCCAGTTATTCAGCTAACCACTAATCTAGATAAACATATTCATTTGTTAAGTGCTTGCCTTTGTTTATGCAAACCATAAAAAATGGCCTTGGGCAAAGTGATGACAGCAAAATGGTTTTGTGTTCACTTTATATCTATTGTCTCTTCAAATACTGCACAGCATTTTAACATTAAAATAGAAAATAACAAATTAATTAAAGCCCAGTGTTTCTTGACCTCATCCAGCATAAAAATAACAATATTGCAATTTAAAATATAATATTTGTTTATACAAAATTTAAAGTGACCACTGGATTTATATAGAGACAATATATACATATATACAATGACAAAGCTATGAATAGGTAACTCATAGAAACTGAACATAATACCTTCATTAGAATCAGGAATAACTTTGCTATTACCGCATCCCATATTTATCTGTTGTTTCAGTTTTACTTCTTCTGATACACATTGTTCGAAAAATTAGTTTAAATGAAAACAAGTTTATGTTAAGACATCAATCTGGAATAATAAAAGATTGGAGATCAAACTTTAAAAAGCAACAATTTTAGTTAGAATTAGTTTACGAAGAATTTATCACAATCAATGATAATTGAAATTGTTTCACACATTATTAAGACAATGTACATAACTCGTATAAATGAAAGTGTCACCTGTGCGATAAAATCCATATACATTTCATTATAGCTGATTACCAGATTTTTCTCATTCAGGTCAATTATTACAGTGACTAACAAAGGAAATAAAACAAATGTATTAGTCCCTGTCCCAACCCAACCCAAGGAATATGAAATTGAACAATTTAAAAAAGCTATATTAAACTGAAGAGATTACAGTTTTTTCTGAATCGGGTAGCTACTGTTCTCTTAGTTCAAATAAACCAAAAAAAAATTTCAATGAAAAAGGGAAGCTTCAGGAAACCATTAGTTATTAGCGTTAATAAAGATTATAATCTCACAAAGAGCTGTAAACTTTAAAAATACAGTATGTAGTACAGTAGACAATGGAATGTTATTTTTTTTTCAATTTTTTCAAAAATAAAATGAATCATTCTGCCACCATACATCAGTGTTATAAAATTTTAGTATGATAATATGTAAGAATTTGAACATAAAATTTCATGGTGGTACAGTTGTGCTCACAATATTTAAATTTTTAATACATATTTAGTTACACTTTCTAAGGGGAACCAGCACTATAAGAATAAATACAGAACCTATTTCAATCTCTTTTATAATTCGGGATCCAAAAAAACTAATTTATGAAAAAGTTCAAACCCAGTATTAGAGAAATATTTAGACCTCATTTAAATGCAACAATGTCCAGATGCTCATTGTACATCCAATCTGACAAAAAATATTATAGCTATATCAATATTACAATATAAATCCATTGTGGCATATAACAATAACTTACTGGCAATAAAACTACATTCTGCGTGCCAATTAGATTGCGTGTCATGATAGCTGTTTCAAGAAAGTAGAAATAGGCACGTTGCATGCCCCGAGGCTAACACTGTTCTTAAGATAATATCAAAGACAAAGCTGTGGTACTCATTAAGACACAAGGAAATCATGAATCAATAGAAACTTCTTTCTTAAAAATATCTTCTCTTTGTTGATGGGAGAAAAACAAGACAATAAGTGGTTGACACTTGCGATAAATATCGCCGCCTCGCAATTTCTTAGTATTATTTCTTTTCATGCCCATACAATAAAATCTTTGATAAATAAAAAAAAAATTTTGACCTAGTTGATAGGAAGAAATCTTTCCTAATCGTTTTGAATGATTAATAATCCATGTTTAGCAGTTATTTTAAATAAAAACGTGTTATAAGTACATGGATATCGGTTTTCATATTTTGTATATTTGAACATCTCGTAATTCTCTACTTCGTAATTTTGTTTTTGATGAATGAAAATAAAAGACATCCACCCAAAAAAGGCCAGAGTGTTATTTTTCGAAAGAAAATTGAAAAAAAAAACACAGTCTTATCTTCGGGGAAACACGGTAGTACATTTGTTTTAATGTTCAAATTTCTATGAGAATATTCCACCAATAATCTTGCCATTTTATTTTAAATAAAAGGGAACACTTTTTATTTGGTATTACTATACTGTGCAACCTTCATGTCCACGTAATCGAGCATTGCTTTCTTGTATTAATACAATATTACTAGTTCATCACAGAGTTATTTTTAAAATTAAAAAACAACAACACATAGTCACAAAGTTACCCCAGTGGAAAATTTAAAGACAATGACTTTACGTAGAAGATAACAGAGATTTACAACAACAAATAAAATCGTGCCCTACAGCCCTAGTGGTAGAAAATCAGATCTAAATATAGCAGGTTGAAACTCTAGTTATTGTTTGCAACATGTGTAGACCATATGCTTTTTAAGATATTTACTGATACAATTCCTAATTTCAAATACTGTTTGCTATGCGGGATTTAATTTCCCTACTGGGACCAAGCATTTTCGACACACTAACGTTTTGAAATCCATACAAAATTCAACCATTGGAACGAAACAAATTATAACAGGACAAAAATAATATTTAGCCTCATACCATTGATCGTTTGTTACCAAAAATTGCGATTATTTACATCATTGGTTACATTAATCAACTATAAAAAAAATTGAAGAAAATTGCCTTTCTAACTAAATAATATATAAAATTATATTTTTATCTACATACAATCCAGACCTCCTAACTCAAAAATACATCTTAATCTATTATATTATAGTTATCTAAGTAATTGTTTGGTGCTTTAGTACTGTAGTATGAATTAGCCTATGGCATTTGTATCGGGAATATTGATACTGAATCAAAGCCAAGTTGCTTTATTTTATCGTTCAATAATTTAGTTTCAATTACATTACACAGTTAAAGCATGCTTTGAATGCAAAAAAAAGTGACAAAGACAACATAAAATATTCTTTCGGTGTTGTCATGTTTCTAAGGTTTAATGGGTGACTTCGTAATCGAAACTATGATAAATTAAATTGTGCAAATTAAGTGCTTTGTATGACATGGCTAATTTTGAGACCAAGCATGAATTAACTACAGTTTCCACATATGCAGTAACTTTACTAAACAATAGTGCAAAATCTGCAATTGCTGAATTGACTGTTTTTGGAACATGTTATTACACAACAGCTTTTAATTTGTGATGTCATAGCGAGCATTTGGAAGTGGAAACAGGATCTTGGAATTCAGATACTCCATTGTTTCCAAATGCCCTGCACTAATTAAAAATCAATATCTAGTGTTTTTTACAAACTAGAATGATATTCAGATATTTGCTTCAATTTGTGATTGAAATTGTCAAAAGCATTAACTCTAATATTTGTATACATTTTCATTTTATAGTCTACATTCTGACATTACACATTTTATCTTATTATTTCAGTATTTGCTGTAATAGAAAGCTATCATTGACAGATTGATGAAATTGGATAATTTTCATCACTCATTACTGCAGTACTGTATTATCCAAATCCTGGTACCGGTACTGAGATCTGAATGTTCTGATTTTAGTTCAAGTACCCGTACAGAAGTATAAGTTTATTTCGACTCCATAATTTACTATTGCCAGAATGCTGTAATGAATATGCCTGATACTGTGATATGCCCACCAGCCACCACCATGCCCAACAACACAATGTTCACACCACACATGTAAAAAAAATTCATGACATAATTTGGAAATAACAGTGAAAAACCGTAGTCTACCGGCAGACCGGTTACAGGTACTGGGTTAGCGGATGCGTACCGGTACGGTATGCCCAATTCTCAAGATCTCTCTGTATTTTTGGTCAAATTTGTATAAAGACAGAAAGAGGTGACCAATTTTCAAATAGCCTATATGGTAATGAAGCCCTCTCAAAATACTGAAATAGTTGGCTGCTGCAATTCTTTACATTTTGCCCTGATCGAGATTTACGCGAAGATTCCAAACAAAAAATCAAAAACGGACTACGCAAAACTTACGACAGTAGTCACGTAGTCGTAGCCGTAACCTTAATCATTAGTTTGAGGTATTAGTTTCACTTCGTCATTGCAAACACATCTAGTCGCAGTTTTCCAATGGCAATCGCTTTATCAGTTGGAGGACACGCTTTTTATGAAAAAAGGTCGACCCGCTGCCGCTGACGCATTATGCCAAATCGTAAATACGGTATACATCACGGTAAAGAGCTACCAAAAATCTTATCAAAGTTGGAGAATTTTCGTGGGGTTAGGGGTCGGAAAAATAACAGTAGGCCTACTTTCATAATATTAGCTAATCAGTAAGACGCTAATCGTGACAAAACAATGGAATTTTAGCAGCCGCTCGGACGAATATATATATTTCACCCAGACAGATTTTCGAATACTGTATGGAGGTGAACATTAGCACATCTTCGTGGTTTTGTATGCTATTTGTCAGTTTTCATTTGTATTGGCGAAATTTAGATATAAATCAAATATATCAATAAGCTTTTTGTTTTCTGAAGAGTCTTTGTGTAGTTACAGTAAACGACTAAGTTCGCAAATAAATACTAATACGCTAGGTTGCAGTAATCAAAAATTAGTCCCAATATAGGTGTGGTAGATCATAAATACTGATAGTAGTACTAGATGTCCAACTTCGTTCGTCGTACTACAGGGTGTCCAAAAAGTTCCGCCCGACTCCATAGCATTACCAATTGTAAATTCGAATAAATATGGTTGTATGATAAATGGGGACTACAACATTCAACAGCTATAACATCCAATTAGAAACAGGTTGACTATAAATCAATTTTAAAATTAAAAAAAAAAATAACATTTGATTATAGAGACTTTATAATCGGGCGCAACTTTTGGACACTCTGTATAATATAGGCCGCGGGCCCAAATCTGTAATGAGCTTAAAAAACGAGTTCGTAGTGACTCCTGAAGGGGAACCTACATTTAGGTGGGTCAGAAAACCAAGTCCAATTCACAAAATATACAAAGTTGACATCTCCAATGTGGAGCATTATGTCCCAATTGATGGTGACGTCACACTCATTCACTACCCATATCTATCCAATAAATTGCTACTTAAAATACCGAAACCTTCGATGAATTTTCAAAAGAGAATTTTTGGAGGTAAGCATTTATATCATCGACGTCATAAATAGTTCTGTAGATGAATGTGGCGTCATATTTGCTTTTCGAAAAAAATATTTTCTGTTGCGCAGGGACTAAGTAATTAACAATGCCAAATGCCTATACATTACATACTGCTTCTTGTCGATACACACAGAAGAGAATATTTCAAAACAAGTTATGGCGTATTATTATTCCGTAAAACTAACAAAAATTATCATGTGGAAATGTTAAAGGTACGTGGCAAAATTAAACATTTAAACATAATTGTAAAATAAAAAGAAAACAAAATGAGTACAAAGCGAGGGTGTGCCTAATCAAAAATAATAAAACAACAAATGTTAGAATATTTCTTATGTCAGCGTTACCTGTTCTATGATTTACAATACCAAAGGACGTTTCCTGACCCTTGAAAGATTCTACCTATACTTTAACATTGCAAACTTTCAACATATATTTTGAGAGTGTTTTGGAGAGTTGGCGCTTACAAACTGGCTCACATGTTCAAAACTATCAATTTTCAAAACTTTTCATTCAAAACTATAAACTACGTGCCTCTGGTACTGATAGCTAATTTTAGGCTAGTTTATCGCATCGTTTGCAGTATAATTTTTGGATAAATATAACAAACTAAAGGTCCTCATAAGACATAATACCAATTAAGTTATTCAATTTAAAACTATTTTTTGGAAACACAACTAAAAACTGACGAATATATGGCAAAAATACCAAAAAGAGGCAATGTTCACAACCACGCTTGAATATGTGTCTGAGCGAAAGAAGTGTCTGAGCAGCGGTATAAATTCCAATTTTCACGGCATTGTTAACTTATTGCTGATTTGTGATTGTTACGGAAATAAACAAGGAAATCGATGCTCGCGGCAACATCCATTGTAATTGAAATAATAATATTTAGAATATCAAATATGAACAAACACATGGCTTCAATGGTGTATACTGTATAATTGTATATAATATATTATATATACAGTGGTGGGATTCAATTTATTTGTCAGCCGGCTCCATCACAAAAGTCATATTTTTCACCCGGTTCTATTACAAAAAGTCATTGCGAGTAACCAGTAATGCTAACCGGTTCGCTGATCTCATGAAATTCCGTGAGACGGTTTTATGGAACCGGTGCGAACCGGCTGAATCCCACCACTGCATATATAGTAAATACTAATATACAGGGCGTCCAAAAGGTTCCGCCCGATGTCATAGCATTACCAATTGCGAATTTAAATAAATATGGTTGTATGATAAATGGGTACTACAACATTCAACATCTATAACATCCAATTAGAAACAGGTTGACTATAAATCTTTTTTGAAATTAAAAAAAATGCCATTTGATTATAAAGACTTTATATTCGAGCGAAACTTTTTAAACACTCTGTAAATCCATAATGAAAATTTTTAATATACAACATAAAAACGGTTTGAAGTTTTACTTGAAATAATTCCAGCCATCACCAATAAAGGCTATTGGTGATTCATGAATGTTAAGACCGTATCTCAATATTATTATCATCTTCTTCCTCAAGAGTAACATCCGCATTGCTACTATCGTAGCAACTGCACAAACTGAAGAAGAAAAAAAACATACAATTATATATCTCCCAAGTATTCGAGATTCGATTCGAAAAAAATATTCGATTCGATTCTGAAATCATCAGGTATTCGAAAATGCCCAGCCCTAATCGTGACCGAGCAAATTGATAGTGGATATAGCCATTTAAGCAGCGACATAACAAACATAGCCAATCAATTAGGGACATATCGGACATAGCCATTTTACTAGGGGCATAGCGAACATAGCAGTTTTAGTAGGGATATAGCGGAGATAGCTATTTTGGTAGGGACGTAGCCGACATTTTTGTAGGGGCATAGCGGACATGGCAATTTTGGCTGGGTCATACCGTACATAGCTAATTAGTAGACACGTAGCGCACAAATGGGATATAGTCAGTGGTGGGATTCAAATTTTTTGTTGTTCCATCACTAAAGTCATCATTTTTGAGCCGGTTCTGTTACAAAAAGTCATTGACGATAACCGGTAATGCTAACCGGTTTGCTGATCTCAAAAAATTCTGTGAGACGGTTCTATCATTGATGCCTTAACAATGGATCAAAATGACCCCAATGATTTAGCTAATGAGGTTCTTGACAAAAAATCGATTGATTCTTAGAAGATGGATTCTCCTATAATTTCCGTGTATGAAGGCTTGCGAAATACATATCTTAAGCATGATTAACCTAAATTTTCCATATTATCCCGGCACAAAATGTCATAAAAATGGGTCGATTAGGCTCACGTTACAATACAAACTTTCAGTGGCACAGCCAAGATTTTCGAAGGGATGGGGAGATCAGAATTCGGAAATTTCACTGTAATGGGTCCTGAAACATTCGCCGAATTACGCCACTCGTAAAAATAGTCGGATCTTTTCAGATTTTCAACATACGCAAGGCCGAAATCTTGAATACCGCGTGTAGTGTTTTTTGAGATTAATTTAATGCAGTTCTTAAATCACGGATGTCCACTTCAAATATCGCGACATTCGAGTATAGTTTTTTCGAGTTTATAAGCACACATCCTAGCTTAAAAACATTTTACGATTACTTCATTTTTATCGTAATCGAAGGCAGCCGTACGCACGGCAATAAATTACAGCCACATGAAAAGATTTCAATTAGCGCTGACTTAAATTTCTTATAACACGTTGAAGATGTTTTTGATTGAAAATATATTACGAATAATATACGAAATCATTATCGCATATTTAAATTTAGTTGAGATAGTTTGTGGGGCCGAGACAATAATTCTAAAAGCAAATTGTGTAGCAATTAATCGTTTTCATCCTCAGTTTCGATAGCGATCGGACATTACGGGAATGTTTTCATTTATTGTAATTTAGAGCGTATAAAATAGCTCTCAAATATTATTTAGTATCTATTGCGAATTTTATCGTTTTCCTGACGTCGTTGATGACAATCAAAAATGAAATCATAACTCCCGGCATGAAATATTTATAACAGCACTGAATCGAAAATTAAAACACGATTTCCGGTCTTAATTCATCAATCATCATTGACGAATGGAAATTTAGGAATCGGGTTCACTCATTTGATGGCGCCCCAGAAGTATGTGCACCAAGGTGGCGGACACCGGAACGTAGTATGTGTACCAGGTTAGAGTTAGGCCACAATTTTATTTCAATTTTCCTTATTTTTGTCCTTTTATGAGTTCCGGGACTAGCCAAGTGACTCCCGAAGTATTTGCAACCTGAAATTATGGCCCAACCCTAACCTGGTACACATACTACGTCCCGGTGTCCGCCATCTTGGTTCACATACTTCGGGAGTACCCATTTGATTATGTCAATGATCGCGTAATAATATTTGCATTTTTCTGAATCAACGAATGGTTTAGTGAGCAGAATGAACTAATAATAAAAACTCGACCGCCGCCATCTCACTCTCCGCGGTCTACCGTTCGTACTTTTTATTTATTGTTTCTCTGTTCTTTCTATGTGTACATTTTCTATTTATTATGTGGTAATTTATTTCTAACATGTAATTATTACGGGTTTACCCAGTATTCTAATTTATATAAATGTTATGTCCGAGTTTTGTGTAGGCTTAGAACTAATTAGGTCATTTATATGTATGCTGCGTCCTTACTTACAGATTTTTCTACTTACGAAGGGGCTTCCGAAACGAATTAATATCGTAGATAGAGTTTGTACTGTATTGACAGCCAGTTGTGATTATTTTTATAAGATATTGTGGTTAAAAAAATCCCAAGATCTACGATAAAATCCCAAAGTCTACCCAAATTTATATTGGTACAAATAATAAATTGCTTCAACGTACTTTATCTTAATCAGGCCATAGTCAGTATTTCCAAAAGAGGTTCAAAATAAATATTAATCGCCTCGGAATCCTCGCGGAACGGATCCTGTAATTGTAGCGCTGAAAAAACCCGACTATTTACTGGCTAATAATTTTTCAGTTGCGCCAAGTATTTACGACTAATACTACTACCTAAAATGTCTTGCTTTGTTAAATCAATTGCGGTGCGCCGACTTACGTCAAAATAAGGGCATCGCTATAAAATCTCAAGGCAATACCAAAGAATGGAAAACTGTCTAATTATACAGTATTTATCGCCAGTTGTGATTCGTATTTTTGCGATGTTGCGAATTCTACAAATTCGATATGTTCTCACAACACTGACTCCGCTCTGCCACTTCTATTATTTTTTAACACTAGAAAAATTCCTAGGTCTGGTATAAAATATCAAAAAACTATGATTTATTTTAGTACATTAAAAATTGACTGAATATGCATTACATTAATTATCTTATATTTCATAATAACCCGAGTCAAAGTTGCATGTGGCCCCGACGATAGTTTCAGAATGCCTTAAAACAGGAGTGTACAAACTCGGCTCGATAAGAAAAATTGTACGGCTCGCGGAGAAGCGCCAATTTTGAACGGTGTATGAGCAAAACGAGTTTTTAGATCATTTAATTTGGTGCGTGCGAGCAATTTTAATCTTTCTCTCTTTCACAAAGCCTATACTATTACCTGAGTGCCACGGTCATCATACTAAAACAAGCTAGCAAAATCCTGTTACGAAATGCACAATGTTATAAAAACGCGTTTCCCACTGAATTCGATTAAAATTCAGAGCATATGAGCACACATAGAGAAACAAACATGCCAGATAATATTTTGCCGTGTCGCACAGGGCTGCAATGTTTTAAAACAAAACGTTTACGGTGTCGCTAGGATATATGCGCCATATTCGGTATCCACTTCTTCAAGAAATGCATTAAATTAACCTGAATTAAACAAAGTTCACTGCACGCGTTTTGAAGGCTTTCGATCTTTTGTATGTAGAAAATATTATGCTAGCCGAAGCAATATTACGAGAAAAATTTCGTAAGTTGATTTTTTTGTATCTAGAGCCTTTCATATGTATAGAGTTTATAGGTGCGGTCCGCGGCTTCATCCAGTAACTTGTATCTGGCCTTCTGTCAATGAGGGCTGCACACCCCTACCTTAAAAGGTATCACAGGCATAGTGAACGGAATTCGGTGACTTTTCCTATGGTATAGTTCTCGAGGGCAATTTACCAACTGAAAAAGAGCTTTTAATCTGTCACCAGCCTAAAGAAACTAAAAGTATTTTTCGTTTCATTTTATGTATTTTACAATGCGGAACAAAACAACCTATTGAAACAAGATGCTTGCAATGATATTCTGAAATGGCGTAAGTTTGCAGCGGGAAATTAAGCGAGAATAAAAAAAACGACGTGAAGGTGCTCAAAGCCCAACGTTACGGATCACACTGAATTAGATCGGCTAATATAACAAAATGCAATCGCACCCCATTCAGACATTTCCACAATCCTCACAAATTGATCAGAAACCACCCTCTGGTCGCATATCCTACTTTGGATTTAATATACGATGTCACGCACATGTGGCCAATCATAAATTTGTCCGAATACATCATAGAATTTCTATTTTAACAGTGAATATGAATACGGCCATATACAGTAAACATACATATTTAGAATTGAATTCCCCTGTATAATATTGGATTTAACGAGATTTGAGGCTTTAATTCCACGCTGCTCCGCATAAGAAAAGCATTGTTTAACCGTAGATATATACTGTTTAACCGTAAATACGGTTTAACCATATATTTACGGTTTAACCGCCCCAGAATATAACTTACAGAAGATCATTCAAGCGTGGAACGTCTGGGGCAAAATGACTATAAACATAAGTGCCTATTATAGTCACTTTGGTCTGGGGCGACAACAATGAGTTTTCTATCCATTGTTAGGTCATCAATGGTTCTATCAAACCAGCTGAATCGACCACTGGATATAGTCATTTTATAGCTTTATTTAACGTAATGGAGGGATGGGTCTGTGGGTCGCGACCCCGCGTGAGTGAAGATTCTCCGGGATCGCCTAATTACTTTTAAACACACACACAACTGCACAAGTGACTAGTATTTGAAAGTTGTAGAGTGGAATTTGTGCTCGTCGGCGGCTATTAGTAAATGTAATTGAGGGACAGTGTTTCTTGGGCCATAAAGAATACCATAGCTGATAGGCTAGCTCTGTCTGTCTGTAGTTGGACAGTTATAATAGCAGATTTTTTATTTATTGTTACAGAGTCATGTAGTAAGCTCCAAATTAGCCTGTGTATGTTACTATCTTCTGATCTTTACAATTTATTTTATTGAAGATGATCAAGTATGGAATAGCATCTACCCTCCTTGTAATTGGACTCATTGTTGCTATAGCTACTGTTATAGGGTCAATTTTCACTACAGGAATTCAAGCTACAGTCCAGGAATGTATATTTGGCGGTAGTCTATGCTACTACTTGCTTCTTATACCATTGACAGTTCCTGTTAGTGGGTTTTGCTGGCTGTTAAGGTGGTGGGGACTTATGTTCTTCAAGCACAATTGAATTACAACGGTGTATAATTTTCAACTCACAATGAAAGTTGGAAACTCTTTGCGCGCTCGAGTGTCGACTACTAAACTATTTGGAGCTATGTTTCTGACATGCACTTTTGTGTGCTGCATTTTTTTACTTATTGATGTAGTTCCGGAACAAATCTTGCACGACGTCAAAGCTTTTTTATATTATATTATCGGTTTTCCCACTGATATGACAGTATATCTTAGTAAACGTTATCACGTGCTACAATATTCTCAGATAGATTGGAAGTATCTTATCAACAATCCACAAAGATGTGAAAATGATTCACCTTTTGTTATTATTTTTGTAAAAACTCATCCAAATCATTTTGAAGAACGAGATATTATAAGACGGACATGGGGAAATACAAGTGTTTGGACTAAATCTAATGATATCAATAAAGCTTCAATTATGTTTGTATTGGGTCTTAGTAAAACACATACTCCTGCCCTACAAGCTTCACTAGAGAAAGAAAATATGAAATATAATGATTTAATTCAAGAAAATTTTGTAGAGGATTTTCACAACCTAACGATCAAACTTATTAGCCATCTAAAATGGCCGATCAAATATTGTCCGAATGCCAGATACTGGATGACAACGGATGATGATGTTTTTGTTCATGTCAGAAATTTATTATTATTTTTGCAATATTCTAAAAGAACACTCTTATATACTGGAAAAGTTCATGCTGGATCACCACGAAATACACAACAGCAAAGTAAATATTTTGTCCCTTATTCTGTTTATCGAGGCACTTATTATCCAAGCTATTGCCCTGGTGCAGGGTATGTATTATCAATGGATATTGTTAAAAAATTACACGCTGAGGCTGAACTCACACCAATGCTGTATATAGATGATGCATACACGGGAATATTGGCAAGATCTGTCGGTGTATCTCCCGAACATTATAATATGTTTCTGGGTGAAAATATGCTTTCAACTGATCTATGTACAATGTCAATGTTTCTTACTTCCCATGGCCACAAAGGGCATGAAATGGTTTCCTTATTTCAAAAAGTCATCTCATTACTGAACTTAGATCCGAATGTTTTGTGCTGGGATAAGATTTTTTCTTGGATTCATCCTCAAGACTTGGTCTATTTTTAACATATTTTTTGACCAAATTAAAAGTTCAAAAATGTTGTGTTCATGATGCCACACCACTTGGTTGGCAGAATAAATTAGATCAAGTATAATATTGCCATTTCTTGCCCACAAAATATTGTAATCAAACTTTGACATTTTCTGTTTTTATTTAATGAATATTTATCTAATGAACAATGGCATCGTTGCTCAGCTTGCCCATGCTTATGCACTTCATGTTCATTTAGTTGTGTGAAGTTCAGTATAGCTCATACCAGATTGTGAATTTGTCAGAGTTTGGTATTGTTTATCTGATTATTTCTGGTAAAATTTGAATTGAATTCAGGTGTCTAGCTAGTTTTTAATAGATATTGATTTTCTTTTGTGTATGAGAATTGGGAATTAATTCATTCATGTGCTCTTTTATTTATGTTCCATTTTGTTAAATGTTGAAGTTCAATTTTTGATTCTCAATTAATCATATTATGTACTGTGTCTGCAATTAAAACTGTGTTTTGATTAAGTTTTCTAATATCTTGACACCTATATAGTATGTTTGATATCACAACTGTTCAACCTTTTTGTTCCGGTTAGTAATTAAAATAAACACAATGAACCTCTGCTTTGTATAACATAATATCAGATTCTACTGTAACACTTGATATTATTGAAACTAGCTTTTATTGACATTCTTATTCAATTTTCTAAGGATTTATTTTGTGATCATTTTTATAAAAGGTTTGTTTGCTGACCACAGGTTGTGAAATGAAGCTCTTCCAATCTCTTTATTGATTATTCCATTCTTTGATAATTTTCAAACTGAACGTGGAAAATATAATCTCCTGAAAAAATTCCTTCTATTTATATTGCAGTACAATATAAATAATATACACTGCTTGTTTTGTGTGTAATCAGACAGATTAATAATTGCAAAAGAAACTTATTATTTATTAATTTCATCAATTCAGTAATGTTATATCATGAATGAGGACTATATTTGTTTCAAATCTTTTTGTGGAATAGTAGTTTTTACAAATATGTGAATTCTGTTTACCTTGTAATTCAGGAATATTCAGAATGATCCAGTTTAAGTTGAAATAGTAATTATTTGAACAAGTGAATTTTACAATATCCATAAAAAATGCTCTATTTGATTTTGAAACCTAAAAAAGAGAACCTAGCAATTTATTGTTTGTCTTAACTTTCCCGCATTTTCCAATTCAAATTATGTTTGAACGCTATTTGCAGTCCAAATGCAGTCTGAATTTCACAAAATTGTGGAATTCAATCTTTTTTACCATTTATCGACTTGAACAAAGTTCAGTCCCGAACAAATATATTCGGAACATTAATTTATTTGACTTTGGACATCCCTACATACGAGTTAGTTGTTGAAATGCAGAGGAATCTTGAACTTCTTTAATTGTCAATGTGCTTGTTGTTTTTCATCAAGTTTACAGTTTGGTCCTTTCAAAACTAATGTCTCAGAAAATTTTTTTACTCTTTCCAAAAATTTGAGGATTTGCGTCAAATCAAAATATTATTTGATTTTGCTTGTGTATAAACAACTAACTATTTGTCCACAATTTGTGCTATAGTGTTGTTGTTTATTTCTTGAAACTAGTGTATGCCACGAAAGAGATTGGAATTTTTTCTAATATTTAATATTGCTATATGAAAAATTACCATGACTTGTTCTTTTTGTTTACCACCTGATTTTTTGCGGACTAGTTTATGAATATAGCTCTGAAAAATGAATTTCAAAAAGCTTTGTAAATTATATACTAAAAGAATGCTTTATTTGTTAATTTAATAACCTATGTGATATGTTAAATCTCTATCTAGAGCAGGCCTGCCCAACCTTTTTCGTCCCGCGGGCCACTTTCACATGACGAAATTCGTTGCCGGCCAAACGTTTGTACCAAACTTTCAAGCAAGACATTCAAACAAGTTTTAATATTAATAGACCCAGAGTGCAAAATCAATTCAATTTCTCTTTTCTAATTATTCACTGAAATCCATGAAATATTACCTCTTTTCTTTTTAAGCAGGCGTACTACAGGCTCTGCATTGCAATGCGATTCTTTTGCTTAGAAAGACTAGATTCAAATGTTTTGAATATGAATGCAATTTCGAGTATTTCGCAATCCTGTAGTAGTCAATAATTGATGTCCAATTCAATACAATAACAGATGCAAAATTATGTTTAAAGTTTAGAAGTGAAACTAATAGAATCACATACACACATGAATGATTCACATGATTCATTTTCCGATTACTTTTGTTAGTTAACCCTATTACACAACACTAGCATTATTTTAAGAGTTGATGAGCCATGTAATCAATTAATGAAACTTGTGTAATCCAAAATTCTTTAGTCAATCATGAGACATAGTGACAAATTGTCATTAGGTTTCTTATCTATTTACACATGCTTGCTCTTTGATATTTACTGTGTGATGTACTTGATGTTTTTTCATGTTGTAGATCGAATTTCAACAGTCAATTCAATGGAATAGTATCTCTTCTTTTTCTCCCAATGTTGGAGCCACGTTCTGTATTCTCATGGATTGCAAATCGAGAAAAAGGTGATTTTAGAAACCGCTGTCGATTACCGCAAAACTTGAATTATGGTTTGTGGAAATTTTCAATTCAAAGTCATCTTTCCAATGTTCACAATGGAAATATGCAGAAAGGCGGAGTGTTTGGACTAAAATACTGTCCAAATGGGTAAGTTTATTTTCGTGCACATATTACAGTCTTTTGATTATTTCTACTTTGACATGATGTTTTATTTCCTAACAATGAAATGCGATTTAAGCACTGATAAATGGAGTTTTTAACATATTATCAAATTAACTAGGTACTCCCGTAGTATGTGTACCAGGTTCAGGGTTAGGTCATAATTTTATTCCAATTTTCCTCATTTCAGTTCTATTACGAGTTCGGGACTGTTTGTGTTAACCAAGTGAATATACCCCCTGCCCGTGGGCTTCCGTCACTTTACACAACTTGATGTAAAGTAGGCGAACAAAATTAGTTACCCTCACTTGTTTTGGGAAGCATTTATTGAAATTTTATGTAATTTTAAATGAATGAATAATGGAGAATAATAAAATAAGGATTAACACACTATCTACAAAATAGAAGTACATCAGTAAGCTTTATATACCGTAGATCTTAGTCTAACTTCTTCTAACAAAACAAGATATAACTGCAAAGATAAAAGATCATAATAATTGTGAAGACAAGTTATTATAATATTCTTCGATAAATATAGAGGTGGAAAAATTCCGTTTAGTTCAATGCACAATACCCTGGTACCCCTGCTTTGAAGTACTAATCTTGGATGATCAGTTTCTAATTTGTTTTGAATTGGGATGGTTAGGGTTACGCCATAATTTTATTTCGATTTCCTTTATTTTAGTTCTATTACGAGTTCGGGGACTGTATGTGTTAACCAAGTGAATATCTCCTTTTCCTGCCCGTAGGTTGCAGTCCCTTCACACAACTTGATGTAAAATAGGAGAACAAAATTAGTTACCTCCATATTATACACATACTTCTGGAGCGCCCAAATTTGCGTGTGGAACCAAAATATTGATTTACAAAAGATTCAGACGTTCCACAATAACAACTAAGGAAAATTTGTATAAATTCATACAAAATTTGAAATATTTTTCAGGCAGTTGCTGGTTGCAGCATGTGAGCACAATAGTGTTGTTTTGATAGATCCGATGACTAATAAGGTTCTGCAACACAAACAGGATGCTCATCGGTAATTACATTTCCTAAAGTTTGTTTATTTAATCCTTGTGGGTTGAACATGTGATTGGAATCGTAATGGTTCAGGTTTGAATTATATACTAGAGCAGGGGTCGGGAACCTTTTTGGTCAAGAAAGCCATAAAAGGTACATATTTTTGAATACATTTCCATTCGAGCCATATAGCATTTCTTCACTTAAAAGGTCTGCAATTTTCACTCAAGAGTTAACACATGTCAATATACATTTACCTAATGTGATTTCTGATGCTGCATGTTGTGGCTGCGGGCCTTGAACGGTTGCTCACATGCAGCACAAATTGAAATCTACGATACTCATCACCCTTCTTTCGTTTAGGCATCTTCGTACTATTTTAAAATCTAGCTTTGCTAGTCCCGATTTAAATATGACAAATACTATAACTAGTACGTACAAATAAACGAGAAGCTTTATTCTATTGCTCCGCTACTCTATCGCTTCGTGATGTAACAAAATATGTTCCATGATCCTCTAGTTTTGTTACAATGCCTGTCTGGTGATTCTTTTAGATAACTTAGACATCAAATGTATTGGCAAATTTTCTGCTAAATTTGGCTGTAAAGAGTTTGAAACAATAATAAGCTTAGCCTTAGAATCCTGGATTTTCCTGGGAGCCATATGTCATACGTCACCAAAAGAGCCATATATGGCTCGCGAGGCAGATGTTCCCGACCTCTGTACTAGAGCATTACTGGATTCTTTAATTCCATGTATTCATAATAATATTTCTATACCTGGACTAAATTCAAAACCAAAGCTGTATGTGGCCCAGTAATTTGGTTTGTAATGTCATTTTATAGTTTCTCCTCTTAGGAATAAATATGAAAAGACCAATGCTAAAATTATTATATACAATTCTTACTCGCCACAGATGTTTTTCCAGTTTTTTTTACAAATCCTGCTGATATACATATACTGTTAATTAATTTTTAGTGATTGCGTCAACAATATTTTATTCATGGACGAGAAAATGTTTGCTTCTTGCTCTGATGATCACACCATTGCAGTTTGGGATCTTCGCAATTTCAAAAAGGTTTTCCATTTGTAAGGTTACCTACTTCCACAAAAATTTCAATCTTTGAATTCAGTTTAGAGCAGACCTCGAAAGGAGCTAAAAAAATAAGTTTTGTTTCGCATATTTTGTACAGCTTTTTTTGGTTTTATATACGACTGGACATATTGAACACATTTTAACCTGTCGCAACTCAAGTAATTTGCACTTTTTGAGAAATATGGCACTGCTTGGTGCAATGGAAAAAAATCCCTATTTCTTTCAAAAAGAATATTTGTCTAAAGTAGCTGAAACAGTTTTAGATAATGATTTAGGGTATGTGCCGAACATTATGTACCAGGATGTTGACTCAACATTTACAACACCTGTTCCAACGAAAATGGGCATGGTAGTCATTTCTTTACCATGAAATTGGTACCTTGTAAAGTATAAATTAGCACGGAGAAGACTATTGTATATATATTCATAAGGATAAATAATTAATTGTTTTGTAGGAAGTTTTTCGGTTAAGAGGTCATACTTCATGGGTTAAAAATATTGAATTCCATCAACCATCTAAACAACTTGTTTCCTCAGGATTCGATGACACAATACGAGTATGGGACATTAATAAGTGAGCTGTCATTTTCAATATTTATATCTGTAGTTTGAACTTTGAGAATTTGAAAACTTTTTTGTAGCATATCTTCTCGATTATAAATATGATATATTACAGTTTAACATGATATTAATTAGGTTTTTTAAATAAGGTTTTTTATCTCATTTTTGCTAATTTTATTCTGTCAAATTTTTGACTAAAGTCAAGACTTACTTACTGATCACATCCTAGACAGGAATCCATTTAAACATACAGGATTGTCACAATTAGAGCAAGCTTGAACTTACCACTTTTATGCCAAGTGTTATAGCGAATGCTTGACTCAAGATCTAAAATCTGGGATGCTAAGATGCTTAGACTTTTAATTTGCCCTTTTTAATGAATTATATGCATTTCTCTGTCATCCATGTAAGTGAAGTATAGGTTGAACTCTCATGGGCTTGCATAGCCTTTCATTCTACTGTCACCTCACATGCACTCAATTCCAGTCATCATTCAATATAATTAAATATTTTAGTATGTGTTATTCCAGCTAGAAACATTTTCAAGATTTCAGACCTTTTTCAATATTTCGAATCAAAATGTTAGAAGTAGGTTTTTTACTGATAAAATTAAGTCACAGAACTAATAAATGTCATCACAATTTTATTAGTAAATAATCGAATGAACTTGTTGTTTTTATCAGTGTGAAGGATGATGAAAATGTTGAAACTAGAGTATTGTTAACTGTTGGAGGTTTATTGAGAATAAGATTATCTCCTGCTGGTGACAACCTTTACTTGTCAAGTTCAACATTTCGTGAAGTTATCGGAATTAATAATTTAGATGTAAGTTTAGATTGCTTAGTTGTTCTGTAGTCTATTGCTTCATTTTCATTTTTATGAATCTAGGTGTTTTCATTTAAACTCTAAACAAGTCTCTGTATGGACAGACACCAATACGCAAGGAACAGAATCTATTTCAGTCTTGCAATGCCCACCGAATTTTTACATTCTGGTACGGTAGCATGATTGGTATTTGAATCTGAGATCGTTATTAACAAAGGGTGTCCAAATCAAATATTGTAGTACTACAATAATGCATTCTTATATCCGGACCATTGAATATGGCTGTTCGTGTTTTCAAAAATAATATTGAAGTTTCTATCTCACTCGCACACATTCTTCGGTACTCCTGTAGTGTGTGTACCAGGTTAGGTTAGGCCATAATTTTATTCCGATTTTCCCGCTATTTTAGTTCTATTGAGTTCGGTGACTGTCTGTGTTAGCCAAATGAATATACCCCCTTCCCATAGGTTTCAGTCCATTTACAAAACTTGATGTAAAGTGGGCGAACAAAATTAGTTACCTCCATAATATTGGTATACACACTTCTGGAGCGCCCATCATTCTTCAATGCAGCCGTCTGGGAAATTCTGATTGAACGCATGCACACTATGATTATCTTATATTCCATCATAGTCCTGCAGTCGTGTACATGCTTTGGTTAGAAGTCTTTTTGTAACTCATCAACTTTATGTTCATATGCAGTTATCGTCTATAGAAGATGATATCGGTTTCATAAGAGCTGAAAATGATTTTCTGGGTTTAATCACAAAGAAGAGAACAATTCCTTCATTCAATCATTTGACACAGACGAAGCCTGTCACAAGGTGTTTTGTTATACTTCATTAAACATGCAGTTTGTCATTGCCTCCAGAGATACCAGATAAATTGCTGGTTATATTAGAAAATTATCAAATCCAATATGATTATTGTCAATATGGTACGGATTATTAATTTAAATTAAGAGCCCCGTATGCGTAGAAACTTCTTACAGCAATCTCAGCATTGACCAGAGTTTACCTGATTTCAGAGTGTTTGAATTTAGGCATGTGTGGACTGGTGAGAATGTTCAAATATGTTTTGTCATAAAATATTCAAACGGTTGCTATTAAATAGTTTTAGCTATAGTTTTGATGAATGCCCAAATTAGAATAAGTGGTGCAATACATGTTTGTAGTACATGCTCTGGTAATGTTTTTTAATTATTTTTCACTTTATTGAATCAGTCATACTTATGAACTCATCAATCAACATTAATAAATAATATTAGTATAAGGAAAACGCACTGTTCCAGTCAAACATAACTAATGTGAGATTCCGGCAACAGCGGACTTAATATGAATAAAAACATTTTTTTGCGATATTAGGTATACAACATCTTGTCATATTTTTTCTTTCAGACGCAATCAAATTGATCGCTATAGAGGATGTGGATCTCCTGTTTTAGATATGTACGGTGATGATATTGTTGGTCACTCCATCGATGTTCATCCGAATAACTCAGCAATACTTTTACATTGCATTGGTGCCTTCGACAAGGTTGTCTATGGCTTTATTTCTGTTACTTATTAAGTAATGCAATGTTTGAATTTTGTTTAGTCAAAAATTATTCCCATCTTGGTATTGTATATAAACAGATGCTTGGGTTTATTTTTTGAAATAAAATATTTTTGCATCTTCAATATGAGGTTATTACATTAAGTACTCATAGTCAGGGTTGTCCAAAACGAATCGAATATCAAAGTATTCGAATACCTTTTCGGCTGATTTTTGAATAATTCCGAATAGTAGCCACTTTTCGTCGTAAACGTGGTGTTTCGTTTTACGAGAATCTTCAAACGACTTTTTACGTTTTTTAAATGGATTCGAATATTTTGCGCAGCACAAAATCATCCTAGTAAAAAGTCCATGCTTTTAAATACAAACCAATGGCAACCATTATCCAAATTAGTTCCCAAAATGCGGGATAAAGTATAAATTATTTTTTCAACTTGTGACAATTTTTTCGTGAGTACGAAAATAAGAACCAAGAACTAATTATATTTGGCACAATATCACGGCAATCTGTGGACATAAATTGTGTGGCAAACTCGCGATTAATAATAATTTTTGATTTCTTTTTTCGTATTTACAAAATACAATGGCGATCTATGGACTTAGAATGTGTGGTAAACTACCCGATTATAAATAGTTTTTGATTCCTATTTTCATATTTATAAAATAATAAAAGTATTATTACACAAACATACAACGGCGATCTGCGGACTTAAAATGTGTGGTTCCCGAATATAATTAATTTTTGATTCTCATTTTTGTACTCACGAAAAAATTGTCACAAGTCAGAAAAATAACTCATACTTTATCCCGCTTATCGGCAAATAATTTAGATAATGGTTGGTATTTAAAAGTATGGGCGTTTTACTAGGATGATTTTGTGTTGCGCAAATATTGAAATCCATCACCGATACCACTCTTGCCGTATTAATTTATTTCTGTTAACATGACTCCTGGTATATAAAATATATATCACAATAATCTGCAAATATGAAATGCCTGGTAATATAGCGAGGTTGTAACTTGTAGATAGCAGTTATTTCTTTGCTTATTGTATGGAAATTCCTACATACATTTAGATAAGCTTCAATTGGTGTATTTTATTTTCGAAGTATTCGAAATTTCATATTCGAAAAAAATAATTTCGAATGTATTCGAAATAGTGAACTATTCGGTATTGGCCATCCCTGAATTAGTACAGATGGCAAAAGTGGGTATACCCGTAGTATACTGTATGTGAACCAAGATGGCGAACACCGGAACTTAGTATGTGTACCAGGTTAGGGTTAGGCCATAATTTCAGGTACAAATACTATGGGAGTCACTTGGCTAGTCCCCGAACTAGTAATAGAACTAAAATAAGGACAATTGGAATAAAATTGTGGCCTCATCCTAACCTGGTACTGTGGTACACATACTTCGTTCCGGTTTCCGCCATCTTGGTTTGCATATTACAGGAGTACCCAACAGTGAACTATCAATTTACCTGAGTTTTCTAGTCACGGAATATCGGTCACAATATCTTAGTACTAGTAGAATTTGGAACTGTGAGTCAGTTACTATACTCACTTCCACGATCCATGTTGCTATATAAAAGAAAGTAGACACACTAATGTGCCCTCACTTGATATGTCTTCCTGTATGAAAAATTCAATTCTCAAATCTTTCACATTACATGTTTCATATTTATAAGCTTATGGAAAAGAAATTGACCTCGTGTCATTTTGTACTAATTAAATAGTGCTTCATTGGCATCAAACCACTGAATACAACATATGCTTGATATAACTAAACATAACAGCAAAATTAATTATTGAAATATTTTAATTGTTTCAATTCATTATTTTTATTAGGTGACGGTTGTCCACAACACGAAAAGGTTTTATGATTTCAATATAGATGAGAACACAACTGATGCAACTCCCAATTTGCCTTTAATAAGAGGTTCTCCAACTCACCTGCTGCCTTTTGAATTCAACAGTGAATGTAGGAATATCTTTTTCATTCGTTGAATTTGGTAAAAATAATGAGTCATTGAATTCTAAAAAATATTTCAAACAGAAATAAAAGCTATCTAGCTCTTGCTACTTGCAAATCAATTTTTTTTTTCTGAAACTACATTTTTTCTGTGTGTGATTTCTTGTTCATGATAATTGTTATCTAAATTTTGCATTTAGGATAATTTTATCACATTAGGGGATAAACCTGATTTTTTGATATCTGAAACCTAAAGGGAACTTATTTGTATTTCTTCTGTCAATACATCATTTCATTTTTATGAATCTGTGCTTCTGAAAGACATGTTAGTTTTTACACATTTATCATTTTGCAGGTGAATATTTGGAGGAAGTTAGTTTTTCATCATGTGGCCGACTTATAGCATCACCCATAGGATTTGGTGTGACAATCGCAACTTTCGATGAACATTTTAATGATTATGAAACTCACATGGCACAAGAAATACAAAGGGCTAATATGAAATTGAATGAAAAATCAAAAACTGTTGGAGGGTCGAAAGACAGAAAAAGACAAATAACAGACTCTGATTTGGGTTACTTGAAGATTGAACCTCGTCTTTTTCATGAAGTTAAAACTTGTTTTGGTCACAAAAGTCCTGTTCTTTCTACATCTTTCTCACCTGTCCACATGCAGCTCGCGTCTGGCTCAGAAGATGGTACTGTTTTATTTCATAATCCTGTCTTATGAAATACATGAAATAACAGATTTAGGAAATTCCATATAATTCTAATTTTACATTATATTTCTCTTGTTACTGCCCTGGCTTTTGTTCCTTGTAATCATTATCCTCATCAATCACAGTGATATTTTAAAAAACTTTTCTCATGATTTGTCACAAATTCGCCAGTGTTTTTTATTTGACCAATTCACAATTGTAATTGCAAGTTTCACAATGATTTATACTGGATAGTTTGGTGATAATGTATGTTCCAGAATCCTAATGTGTGTTTTGCAACAGTTTTATTTTTTATATTTCTGTTGAAAATTGGATACTCCCGTAGTATGTGTACCAGGTTAGGGTTAGAACCGGCCATAATTTTATTCCTTTTTTCCTTATTTTAGTTCTATTACGAGTTCGGAAACTGTCTGTGTTAGCCAAGTGAATATAGCCCCTGCTCATAGGTTTCAGTCCCTTTACACAACTTGATGTAAAGTAGGCTAACAAAATTAGCTACCTCCATATTGGTACACATACTTCTGGAGCTCTGAAATTGTTGGTCAATCACATACACTGGTATACAACATACAGACACGGTCTTGAAAATCATTGTATGGAAATAAGTTTTCATTTAGAGTATTTTCTTTTCATATTCTAGATATATAAGTTTACAAAGTAAAACACAAAGTTATTTGCTTCGTAACATGCTTCAAAGTAGATGTTAAAAATGTCTTGGAATATTTTAAACTCTGGTGAAGTCTGTTGTAATCTTGATAGTTTCTTTAATTCTGTGCAAATCTGGATTAATCGACCAAATGTTTGCTGCAAGATGATAAGTTGTGCTTCCGTGTATGATTTGGAAATATCTTCAGTTGGAAGAAGTAAGAAGATAATCAAGTTGATTCTGTATATGATTTAATCGCAGAAAAAGGTTTATTGAAATAATGTCTCAGCATAAATTTGTACCTTGTGCATTCAAAAAAATATTTCTGTATTAAATTTTTAACAACAAGGTAGTCTCAGTCTCTTGATAATTTTTTGGTTAGTGACTTGAAATTATCCTAATCAAGCTAGAAGCTGCAAACCGGTATGCTCACAGCTCTATGTCGTAAGTCATCTGTGGGTCGAGTCTGCCACAAAGATTTTCGGTTCTGTAACAATTTATTGAGGTGTACAATTAGGCCTCAGAAAATAAGCCCATATAAAGTGAGAAATAAGGGGTCACTTTTATACAAGCACCTATACAGGCTTACTCTCAGGGGTAAATGATCAACCATGCCTTTATGTCAAATCATTAAATGATAACATCTGTCTTCCATATCTGGATTGCGCAACAAATTTTGAAATCAATTTCGATGAGCTTTGCTACTCATAGACATCGTTCTGAACTGCATTTGCATTTTTCAAAACGTTTTTCTATTAAAACTGTCGAATACCAGCATACTTTATATCCTACTTTATATTCCAGATGTTTGTTTTTTTTGAGCTATTTTTGTTACCTCTTTGTGACATGGCTTGGGGGAAATTAAAGCGAAAAAAAACGAACATAGAACTGGAAATATATGGTTCATTATATAATTTTGACTTAACGACATTTTACTCTTTTATTTATCTGCCCTGAGAAGAACATTCCAACACTCTGATACCAGACTATTTAGACATATGTCAACTTGAAAAAGAAATATACAATGCGCTTGTACCTGGAAGCAATACAGAAAACGATGCTGAAGTAAGTAATATTCGTTTAAATTAGGGCGTGGGGTGTGAGTGAAAAAATTAAAGAAAGAGAACTGTCATTCATAAAAATAACTAATAATATTTTGAGCTGTGGGTGGAAATAATCAAAAAAGTTATCAAGTATTATCCTAGTCATTGGACAGAAGCCCGAGTTTCTTGTACAGTTCATGGAGAATCCAAGAAACATTTACGATAATAATAACATGGTATAAGGCTGTTTTAACTATGATGTTTTTGTTTATCAGGATCCATTCGACAAGTTTATGCTTCAGTTGAAGGTACATTTACGAAAACTCGTTCCAAAGAATCCAGACGTTCATTCTCCATGTTATGAAGTTATGGTCTTTCGAAATAACTCTGTGATGTTCATTCCTCTCACATCTGATCTTAAGCTGAGTTTTGTGAGTTATTGGTATGAGATTGAGCATTGTACAATTGAAACACAAACAGATTCATGTGCTACCCAATGCCCAGTCACTGGATCTGAGGAACAGAAATGCCAGAAAATAATCGGATCCATACAAATCAAGTCTGTTAATTTTGATTCAACAAAATATTTGTTTGATAATCATCCGAAAAAAAGAAGTTGTCGTCCTAATGAACAGTGGGTGAAGGATAAACTGCTGACATCTATAGTAAAATGGACTGATGAGAAATTTTCTGCTACCTACCCTTTGAATGGAAAGCAAAAAATGCTGTTACCAACATCTTTATCACTAATTCCTCAGGTGAGCATTTATTATATGTTATCTGGATTTACTACCATTGCAGAACTTACTTAGATGCATGGAGTTACCTATGCAATGCTAGTTGTGTTTTAATGCTTCTGTTCTGCACAAGGCTTCAGATGGAAAGCCTAACAGAAGATAGATATATTTTTTTGAATAACTGAAATCTTTCTGGTTCGGCATTGACTGCCAAGTTCCCTTCTTGCAAGTCGCATTAAAAACGAAACTGAGAATTAAAATTTTAAAAAACCCTCATTTACACCGACAGCACAAAGAAGTTTGTAGGAATTTGAATGCTATTGTTGCTGTGCGTTCTTAAACTCTGTAAGAGGATTTACATGCTATTGTTGATGTCTTAACTGGAACAAACTCTGTGGGACCCTCATAATGATCAAACTAAGTCGTAATTGTGTATCTTAACATCTATAGGAGGAATATGCTGAAAAGTATCAACAATTGAAGCGGAAGTATGGGCATGATATAATGAAGGTTAATATTTACTTTCTACCCAACTATTAAACTAGAAATGTATTTCAATTTGTAATCTCTGCCAATTTAAATATTTATGGTGTATGGTCCCTGTCATGAATTATTAATATATTTTTAGACACCTTGGTTATTGAAAAGAATCCTTTTCAAAAAATGTTCAAATGTAGATAGTTTAAATTACATCTGTGCTAATACTTAGGCATTACTATTGTCAGTATATCAGTGATGATCGTTGAAGGAAATGGATGCATTCTATTAAGCCCAAGCTTTCATCTTTTGCCAAGGAATAGCTTAAATAATATCCAGAAGTATTGAGAATTGATAAGGGTTAAATTACAGAGAATTAAAAAAAAAAAATTAAAAATTATATTGAGAGTTGAGACCTCACTGTATTTTTTCTGCTGAATTTAAAAGCATGACATACACCTTTTATTACGTGAAAAAAATTAGTATATTTCAAATTAAAATGCTCAATATATATTTTTTCATCAATTTCAATGGAATCAATATAGTGGTTTAGGAGATCCTGTATAAGTGTTTATGTAAAATTCAAATTGTTGACGATTTAGTATAATATATCAAGTTCAGTATTCAAGATGATATTTAGTTTTAAAAATTGTTTACTATTCGACTGTTTTTAAGTCTATCATTTGAGAAAAACTCTACTAAACTCTTTATTTCTAGATATGGTCAGAAGTTACTGATCCTCAGAAATACATCTACGAAGATGTGGCTATTGCATCTTATCTCATACTGCTGTGGAAGAAAGAACGAGATATAACTAATTGTGATAAATTACAATCATTTGTTGACCTTGGATGTGGCAATGGACTCCTTGTTCATATATTAAACTCTGAAGGGGTATGTGCATTTTTACTTGACTGATCAAATGTTTAGGAATTCTTGTTTTAATTCCTGCGCTTTTGTTTGGATGTAATCTTTGAATCTATTTCAGCCATATTTATGTATGTATAGGCCATCACAGCATGATGCCAATTTGGCAGAGAGTAAGGATTCAGTCTGAACAACATCATTATTACCGGTAATGTCAGCCTTCAGAAAATATAATCGGTATGTTTTAAAGGAACAAATCTTCCCAGTCATTGCATCCTTGACGAGGTGGAAACTACCTCTCTATCCTTTGACGCAATGCCACATAATGGTGGCCACAAAAAATCAATATATTTTTCTACTTGCTTTCACATCTTAGATTCATTGTTCACTTAAATTTCTAATTCAGCATAAGTTTTATCTTGTAGATATCACTTTTGTATCTTGCAATTCATGTTTCAGAAAAATATTTTACTTGTAGCATCCAGGAAGGGGCATAGACTTGAGACAAAGAAACATATGGAAGGTTTTTCCATCATCAACCCATCTTGTTGAAGGAGTCGTGGATCCAACAAATGATACATTGTATTCTGATTATGACTGGTTACTGGGAAATCATTCTGACGAGCTGACACCTTGGATACCTGTATTGGCCGCAAGGCAAGGAAGATATTTTTCCCTTTTTTAAAATTTAAAAGAAAATTTCTATCAAATATATTTGTTTTATACTATCGCTCCAAACAAGGGCAAGAAGCCACCTTTTCTTATGCTTTTGGAAGAACCAAATGGTTTCATATAACCTGAGCATGGTGATGAACACAGATTTTTTGCCTTGAAGCAAAGATAGTTAGGTTAATCTGGCGTATTTTTTTGTTGATAGTTTCGTTGTTATTCAGTTTTTATGTTTTCTATCCTTTAATTAAATAAGAGAGATTTGTTCTTGTTCATAACAAGACTTTTCCTAAAATATGTGGAAGAAAATAAAATTTTCCTATTTTCAGATCTGGCTACAATGTGAGATATTGGGTTCTCCCATGTTGTTTCTTTGACTTTTTTACAAAATATAAACGTTCACAATCAACATCCGGGCAATATGATGACTATTTGAAATTTGTTGAAAATATTGGACAAATTTGTGGCTTCCATGTAGACACAGATGTTATGAGAATTCCATCAACAAAAAGGGTAAATATAGAAATTGTAATGTAATTACTTGGAAAGTTCGGGGGATTGCATTTTATGGAAGATTTATTTCAGTGCCCTGTGAAACCATTTTGACACACAAAACACTTGATGGTAACCAGTTGATAATAATGTACTGTAATTTGCAACATGCTTGTTGCAATTTTGTTCAATTTAATTCAATTTCAACAAAAGTTTTAAAATAAATATTCTGTCATTAGGAATATGCTTATACTAGGATGCACTTGTAAATTGTAAAATAGAAAGTTTATAGATCTTTAGAGTGACACACAGACAATTATGTTCTACTACCATTGAATCTGATGCACGGGTTTGCAGATTTATCACATGGGAGTTGTAATAGAATTTTAGGGCTTAAAGACGTTTCGACCAATTCAGGCTCAAGGGTGGAGATGCGTTTATCAACAATGCGCGTTGCGATAGTAGACGAAAATCCATTTCGCTAACAAATGTGGAATATTTCGTTATTTTATTATTATTATCATTACATTGAAGTATTTCGTTGTTGTTATTACAATCAACAAAAGTGGAGGCGAACTTAAAATAAAACATGCTTTTATGGTGCTATCGGTATAGAACTTAACCTTAATATGCATTGGATGCTGAATAATTTCATCAAACAATTCCATCACAAATCACTTTTTATGTCGATAAAATCTATGATTTAATTTTGTTCAACCCAAGTAATATTGTATTAACTATTAATATTTGAATACTTCATAATTGAGCCTTGTCTTTTATTGCATTGCGCAACATTGATAAGCATATCTCTCTCTGCACTCGAGCCTGCTTGGTCAGAAACAGCTGGTCTGCTACCTCTGTAGTCCAGAAAATCTGTATACCAAATCGTTATGTTCATATTTGACAGATGTAGGATCAAGCCTTATTTATGAACATTATATTTGTGCAAATCGCGTTCTGAATGGAATCAGTGCAAATAATACGCATTTATCTTATGGCTTCCTCAATTCCTATTACTCTGTTTTTTTATAGCCCTAATGTCAATAACATCAAAGAGAAATTAGTGCAACCTACAAGCTCATTCAGCTGTCATAACACTGTATACAGTATTTCATGTTGTTGTAGCGAGCCAGTATCTCAATGCCCTCAATGATATAATATTTTCTTTTCTAATTATATGCTCATTCTTAATTATTATAATTTCTTAATAGTATAATACAAAAAGAAAACAAACCAATGCCTTATTATTTGCAGGTCTGTCAAGTTGGAATGAGAAAATCACACACTGCGGACAAACATGGCGAATTTTTGAAAAATATATCAGATTTTATTGATACCAGGCATTCTTCACATCCAATAAATTGTAATATACTACGCATTTATTTAATAGTTATGATAAAGCTGCTAGTTTCTTGAAATCTTATTAATACAACATATTCAGCGGCCCTTTCTCAAAATAAATTTTTACAAGAAAATTGTTTTAAATTGTATTGTTTTGTGGTTGCTTTCAACTCTTAGAGCAGTACTCTATTTTCCTCTCTTAGTTAAGTACTCAGCACCTTGCTTTAAGTATTTAAAAATGGACTTAGTTTCCTTCTTTTTCGTGCAAATTAAATAATTTTGAAACAATACAAGTTAATCCTAGATTGAAAACTTCATTTTTTTGATGCTTCAAGTTTAACTGTAAACTGTCATTTATGAGTTTTGATAAAATACAATGTGTTTATATTTATTCACTTCATTAACTATTTTTTATTTAGTTACCACATCGTCAGAATTTGTGCCCAGAGACAAGATCGAGAGGGTACGGAATTGTACAAAATTGGAAAGATGCGTTCAAGAATCTATTGTTTCCATCATTACAAATAACATACTCAGTATTTCGAACATCTTGAAAATTAATATTGACGGAATAGTGAAAGGTCAAATGAATATCAGAGCATTTGGCTTGTCACAAAATATTCTTCAGCCTTCATGTCATTCTTATTTTGGCACATTATATTGTTATCAATTAACCTCAAACTTGACTAGTTATTTTATGTTATATGCCACAAATACAAATCACCGAACTAATTGACTACACGATCACAGACAAGCAAATATCCTTCTTCTAGTGTTGTGGTATGTTCGTGTCATAGATGAAATCATCTCTATATGGGATCTCCATCCGATTCCTTTTTGAAGACATCTCATTATTCGAACTTGGCAGAATATATTGGTGTTGCCATTACCTTCACTAAATGGGTACTTCCGTAGTGTGTGTACCAGATTAGAGTTTGGTCATAATTCTATTCCGATTTTCCTTATTTTAGTTCTATTATGATTTCGGGGACTATCTGTGTTAGCTAAGTGAATATACCCCCTCAGTCCCTTTACACAACTTGATGTGAAGTGGACGAACAAAATTAATTACCTCCATATTGGTACACACACTTCTGGAGCGCCCCCAAATGTCCTTAAGGCTGCCAATATCTAGTTTTGCTCACATTGAAGATTAGGGAGATTGAGCATATATTTGTGTTCATTATTGCAACAGATTGGAATCGTGGAGGAAGCATTTTGCTTGAAGATGCAATATTACTGCTTCCTACTCATATCAAAGATTTAATGAAAAATGAATGCGGAGGTTTAAAGACTTTGCTGAAAAATCATCATCAGGTTTGTGGTTTTGAGTGAAATCCAACTCATTTAATCAGGATATTTTTGGGCTTTTGATGTCTGAATTGCTAATATCAGACTATGCTTTTTGATAAGTTTTTACTATATGCATAACAATTATCGAGTTGTTAAATATGTGTCTGTATTTTCGAGCAAACTGAATTGTCTAACATTGTATTGAAGTCGATTTTTACACATTACATAACTACATTATTTTTTGATGTGTTTGAAAACTGTATTTTTGGAAGTGTTCTGATATATATGTCGAACTCGCTGTGTAGTGGTAGATTTCCAGAAGTTTTTTGCCGATGAACTTTTTTGTACCAAAGTTTTTTTCTGATCATTTTTCAGATTTTTGAAGTTTACCAAGGAAAGGTGCAGATAAGAGATTGGAGTAATTTGCAAAATACCTGTACTAATAAGAAGAAATCTAAAATTCAAATGCATTCAAGAAAGACTAAACCATGCTGGTTTTATTTTTCTCACCCAGATGGTTGCCCAAGAAGTGAACACATTTGCCCTTTTCTACATGTTTCTTGAAAAAAAAAGTTGTGAAATACTGTTTTCAAGCGAAAGTATTTTTTATATGAAACTACTCTGATTTATCGTTCCTGGAAATTAATGTAAAATTTTAAGTAAACTGATATTATTTATTTCTTGCTGTAGTTAACCTTTTAATTGCTCTTCTTATCAGATGTAGGAGTTTAATTTGTTTTGTCTGAACCAACTGCCTCCGTTCACGACATTGACAGAATTCTTGCTCGGAAACCATTCCACTAGTACCGTAAAAATACTATCAGAATATCTTGTCATAATTACATTCAATAAATTTTACAAATTCTGCTCATGAATATCAGATTTGCAATACTGCTTTATTGGTATCGATGATAATATATTTGCAGAGGATACAACTCAGCGCAGGAAACAGGAAGTGGTGACATCACATATAGAGTTAGTCGACATTGCAGAGAGATGAATGTTTACCTACGTATTTCATGGTATCCAGTTCAGCATACATCTTTATTTTGAGCGCTATCAATAATTTATCATACAGGTTTAAGAAGAGAAAATATGGTAGTATTGAACAGGTACTTAGTATTGAACTAGTACTTAGTAAATTTCTCTTTGCCTGAGATGGGCCGTGAATGATTTAAGATCTCTATGAGTATGTGGAGTGAAGGGGAATTCGTCTCTTTTTTGTTTTTGTTCTTTAACCATTTTTTGAATAATTGCCTTCGTGTAAATTTTGTGATAAATTGGCTAGAAACAGTTTACAGATTTGGTGGAGAATTAGTTGTTGCAAGCGATTGGATTTGCGGTGTTATGTATTGCGTTCGTATTATTTCAGTACTAATAGAAATGATTTGATATCATTCTCGTGTTTAGAAGTTCACTTGCATGCATGACTATCGATGATTTAATCAATCTATTAGATGACTGATAATGTTATTTGACAACAAAATGTTTAAAAAAATAAGACTTTAATTATTGGAGTAGCCCAATTTTTGTTCATTGGGTCGAAGCTGACCTGCTTTGGCAGTTAGCTTGTGCCTTAATGAACGTTTACTTTTATTATTTTGAGAAAAACGAATCATTGTGCTTCAAGTTTTATTGAATTTCTTGCCGAAATACCTTGGTATCCCTGAACTTGTTCTACTGAGTAACTTAGGTCGAGTAAGGAGGTGATTTCCGCTGTTTGAAATAAACACAATGTCATGTACCGTTATCAGGAAATATGTATGATTTCAAGCAGGCAGTGTGATGTTATTAAGCTCTATCTCTAGCTTCCGATTTACTCTTTCGAATTTTTCGTACTGTTAACCTATTACCCTACACATGGGGGAGGTATTTCTAGTTTAAAATATATACGTTGATAAAATGAAATGTTTCCTATTTTTATCAGCACTCGGAATTACCGCATTTATATTTGTTTTTTATTATTTAAATTAAATTATGATTTAGTTACCGAACGGATCTTGTCCAATTCTCTAACTATGGCAAATCAGGATTTAAGGTGAGCACAACGCCTTACCGAGGGCAGTAATAGTATGTTCTGTAAGTTTTAGTAAATATTGGCAATGTCTAAGACTAAGTCAATTAGGTGTCCATTAGATGAGTGGTTTTCAAACGTTTTGTACCGTCGCCTCCCTACAGTCCTTTTTATGTTATGGTGCATGACGTTTTTATAAAATGGATGGATTTCAACAAGATTTTTTAATATATATATATATATATTTGAAAATCCCAAATCATCATTCTTCCATTTGATGACCCCGTTTCTACCAAATAAGATGTTAGAAACGTAAGAACCAACAATATATATATACTTCGTCAAAATGCCAGATAACTCGCTCTAAACTATATATTCAGTAAATTTTATTCTGTATTTAAAATCGATAACGGAAAATCCGATTGAAACATTCCTCGCTCGCGATTATGCCATAGGTTAAAATTGCCGATTTTTTCAGCGATGAATAGCCAGTCCATGGCCGATAGGAGTATTAACAAGGATTTGATAATGTAACTCGCCGTTGTGCCTACTTAATAAAACAAAAGCGTTATTGCTTTGTAACACTGCAATCTGCAGTAGGCTACATAAAAAAAATATGGTATAGTTTCCAATTAGAATTGATTCGCCTATTTGCGATCTTGTAATTTGAGCCGCTCATGATTATTTTCAAGATATCGCCGTTAGCAAAACTTCAAGGTCGACGATAAAATTTTACATTACTACATTGATTAGTTTTATATCTAGGCTTACCATACGTCCCGCTTTTCAGCGTTTTGTCCCGCCGTCCCGATAAGTCAGCCAAAAGTCCCGCTTTTCCAGCACAATACACAAACACGTTCTCGTTACTATTGTTTCTGTGTAGCGCAGCGCTAGCCTACTTACTGAAGGTGAATGCGTTCGTTTTCCGCTGATTCCCATTGATGACAGACGTATCGCATGTAAAACCAATACTAATTAGTCGAATTATTTGGACCGGTATCGTTAACGTAAATTTCTTCCTATTTTTCGAACTGAACCCTATATATATATTGACAGTGAATATGCGCATGAAATTCCGATAACAATATGGTCAATAAAAACAGCCGAGACAGCTTTAAATGTAGGAATGTAGGCCTATGTAGTAAAATCGGAAAATGTGAAGTTGTAAAATCACAGCTAGGGGGTCGTTGTCGAGGCGTCCCTATTTGAAGTCACAAAAATATGGTAACCCTATTTATATCGTCATCACAATCACCAAGGAAAGAAGTCGTATGCGACACGGCGGTAATTTAATAATGGGATGGAACAACTTCAGGTGACTACGGTATAGTTTCCGATCAAAAATTCCAAAATTCTGCGATTTAACCACATCTAAAATAGAGTTTTTAATCAGTCGCGACACTCCTGAAACAAAATATATGGTTTTTCCGTTTTATATATATTTTACATATACCAATATATAATATGACACCGCTTCTTATTCATAATATATATTCACTTCCTTGTTTTCCATTTAAAATTGAATGTGCGTATTCAATCCCTAGGTTGTATTTATGGCCTCATCTCAGATGATCGCATAATAATGAATTTTTCACACTTACGCCAAAGGAAGAGGAAACCTCTCTATCGACGCCCTCTGGCACATGTCCGAAGGAATACTTGTTAGATAGCGAGAATTCGCGAAAATGCGAAAATATAGTTTACCGATATAATACTGGCCCAAATACTCACGTCAAGCTTAAGAAAATATTCGGCGATTTTAACCATATTTGACTTTTCGAGAATGCACAATCGCCCCCTCCAAATTATTCGCCCCATGTTTTATCATTATCAAATCGTATTCTAATTACAATACTATGAGTTTATCCAAGATGATACTCAAGTCTTCATGACACCATACCAGATTAAAGTCTCAATGATTCGGTGCCCGCTGTGTTGCAAAATCTTTTACTTGTTTTTGTACATAGGAAAAGATCCCCTACTCATTCTGTAAGACCCCACTATACATTCGTCGATTACGATTATCTGGTTAAAATTGTTATCGTTGGAGATTCTGGTGTTGGCAAGAGTCAGTTGGTCGCCAGGTTTACAAGAAGTGAATTTAGTGCGAACAGTCGTCAGACGATCGGTGTAGAATTTGCAACTAAGACTATCAATGTCGAAGGTAAGTTTCACATTATTTATTCATTCAATAATAGGCAAAGGCAATTTTAAATATTATTCACAACAAGAACATGTTATGTTCAAGTTCACTATCTCGCTGAGTCTCCCGTCTTCAATTTAATATTTTCTTTGGATCCGCACAAGATAAACAGTCTACAATGTCCAATTATATATATATATATATCAATTTGACACGCGTTGACATGTTAATTGACATACAATCGAAAGATACGGGACGTTTATTTTATAACAGAAATACATTTACCGTGTTTCCCCGAAAATAAGACCTACACTGAAAATAAGACCTAGTCAGAATTTTGAAAATGATTTTAATAATTGAAATGAAATTGAAATGAGACCCAGTCTTATTTTCGGGGAAACACGGTAGCCTATAATAAGAGTTGAGACTCTAACGGAGTTGCATTGCATTCACTAAAAATGTATACATTCGCTGTATATTCAAATTATCTAATGTACTGATTTTACCTCATTTTGCACGTTTTACCTCTTTTTAGATAAATATTGCCAAATGCATGTACAGCCATTCAAGTACATACTCATTTATTCAATTTTACTTGCGTGTCTAATCGTGTGTTCAATATCAAATCAATGCCTTTAGTTTCAATAGTGAACCACCGTGGGAGTGTTACCAATACTTTAGGTTTAGATCATATCATTAGTAATGTATTAGTTACAACAATGATATTGTCCACATTCCCAAGCCAACATTCACGGTAGGCTTGCACGTAATTGACAAAAATCAATTCCGTAATTACGGCAAAATCAATTACGTAATGACCCCGTAATTGCGATATTTTTCCACGCATTTAAACCTATCGTAACATCCCATTGAATCCACTTTTTTTCCGAATGGGACATTGAAGTTGGGTTTTCCTATTCTTGGCAGTAATACACGCCGGCGGCAGATGTTAAAGACAACTATCAAGGAGTGAATTCAAATTAATTTTATTCTGATTTTTATCTTTTGTGTTAGCTTTGGTTTTTCTTTATCACCTTCGCAAATTAACCGTCCCATTTTTATGCGATCAATTTTATTTTATCATTACCGACACTGGTATACGGATATTTATGGAAACGATAGTTTTTTAAAACCACCTGAGTACTGAATAAAAATTACGGGTTTCTAATTTATTAACCAACAACGATTTCCTCGCGACGAAGACTTGTTTTTGCAGCGTTTTCTGCATTATCCGACATTACTGCCTTGTTAGCATTTTTTATAATAATAATTATTGATGTCGACTTATTGACGATATTCCTATTACCATGCTTCATTTTACATTCAATCATTTCGCGGACTGAATGTTTATAACATTATTTGCGATAAATTTAGATCAAATATTATTTATTTGCGTATAATTTAAATACCGAACTTATATGACATGCCTTCTCCAAAAATACAAAGTTATATCGCAAAACAATGCATTTAGTGACATTTATTTTACACTCACAACATTTATTTGATAACTCAAGTCGGCGATCCTATCGGCCAAGATTGACAAAAGTTTGGTCGAGTGCCGGTGGTATTCAAGTCGACGATAAATTAAAATAAGTTGCCGCATTTGGTAAGACAGTTAATCATATATGGCCGAAATATTGAGAGGAATTGTGAAAAACATCATGAGCAAGGCCAAGTCCGGACTGATATATAACGATAAAACCGTTAACAGAACATCAAGATTTTGTAATAGAAAATGGATCTCGCACAGAATAAACACACAGGCTCATATTTATTTATATATGATAGCAGTTAAATTTTCAAGGGTCCGCGAGGAATCCGTCGTTTTGGTTCATTGCGCAATCTCTCTTTTGTCGTCATATTGCTATTTGATAAGCGCGACATTAATTATCACGGCGCGAGCGATCAATCGCTCTTTTCGCTTATTTGGTTCCAATTCGTCGCGAAAGCTCTTCGTTAAATTTCACAAGATAGTCGTGTTGAAAGTAGGCTTGCACGTAATTTACGGATTTACGGAATTACGTAATTATTTGGAGTTACGGAAGGGAAGTTACGAATTACGTAAAGTCGTAATTATTGCATTGAAACGAGCTTTTTTCAAAGCAGTCAATTTCGTCGATTGCGAAAATGAAAGCTCAACAAGTAGAAGAAGTTAGAGTTCCGGTATTCGCAGCCGTTTTTCTCTCTCTTGTTACGTAGGTGAAGGAAGGCATGACGCGTTGCCATTTACTAACCTATTATCAACTTATCTGGCGTGGCCAATGTAAATTATTAACGTAGTTAATGGGGCAAGAACTGAGTAGGGCCGTTTGACGCCAACACACTTGGTTTTAACTTCTCCCGCAACTTAACCGTAGATAAGGGATAGAATTGCGTTGAGACCGATTGACGCCAACACACCTGGTTTCAACTTCTCTCGCATCTTATCTAGCATGGCCATGGCCAATGTACATATAACCGTAGATAGGGGGAAGAATTGTGTTAAGACAGATGGACGCTAACACGCCCGGTTTCAACTTCTTCGGGTGAAATGACTAATGAACGCAGGAGATCAATCTATCAAACATGGTCTATCAAACATTTGTATCCATTTTACTTTTATTTATTATTTACTTGTTCCAGTTTTCCGTTACTTATGGTATATATGTTCCGTTTCTATTTTATAGTCACGCGTTTGAATAGTGGGAATTCCCCACCAAGTGTGGATTAGCAATGCTTAACCATTCTTTATTGTTAATATCAACACTTGATATATGAACATGGAATATCATATTATTTTTGGCTGTTTCATTTCAGACTTGGGGTATAAACAGGAAAATATCCATAACCTTTCAACACGACTATCTTGTGAAATTTAACGAAGAGCTTTCGCGACGAATTGGAACCAAATAAGCGAAAAGAGCGATTGATCGCTCGCGCCGTGATAATTAATGTCGCGCTTATCAAATAGCAATATGACGACAAAAGAGAGATTGCGCAATGAACCAAAACGACGGATTCCTCGCGGACCCTTGAAAATTTAACTGCTATCATATATAAATAAATATGAGCCTGTGTGTTTATTCTGTGCGAGATCCATTTTCTATTACAAAATCTTGATGTTCTGTTAACGGTTTTATCGTTATATATCAGTCCGGACTTGGCCTTGCTCATGATGTTTTTCACAATTCCTCTCAATATTTCGGCCATATATGATTAACTGTCTTACCAAATGCGGCAACTTATTTTGATTTATCGTCGACTTGAATACCACCGGCACTCGACCAAACTTTTGTCAATCTTGGCCGATAGGATCGCCGACTTGAGTTATCAAATAAATGTTGTGAGTGTAAAATAAATGTCACTAAATGCATTGTTTTGCGATATAACTTTGTATTTTTGGAGAAGGCATGTCATATAAGTTCGGTATTTAAATTATACGCAAATAAATAATATTTGATCTAAATTTATCGCAAATAATGTTATAAACATTCAGTCCGCGAAATGATTGAATGTAAAATGAAGCATGGTAATAGGAATATCGTCAATAAGTCGACATCAATAATTATTATTATAAAAATGCTAACAAGGCAGTAATGTCGGATAATGCAGAAAACGCTGCAAAAACAAGTCTTCGTCGCGAGGAAATCGTTGTTGGTTAATAAATTAGAAACCCGTAATTTTTATTCAGTACTCAGGTGGTTTTAAAAAACTATCGTTTCCATAAATATCCGTATACCAGTGTCGGTAATGATAAAATAAAATTGATCGCATAAAAATGGGACGGTTAATTTGCGAAGGTGATAAAGAAAAACCAAAGCTAACACAAAAGATAAAAATCAGAATAAAATTAATTTGAATTCACTCCTTGATAGTTGTCTTTAACATCTGCCGCCGGCGTGTATTACTGCCAAGAATAGGAAAACCCAACTTCAATGTCCCATTCGGAAAAAAAGTGGATTCAATGGGATGTTACGATAGGTTTAAATGCGTGGAAAAATATCGCAATTACGGGGTCATTACGTAATTGATTTTGCCGTAATTACGGAATTGATTTTTGTCAATTACGTGCAAGCCTAGTTGAAAGGTTATGGATATTTTCCTGTTTATACCCCAAGTCTGAAATGAAACAGCCAAAAATAATATGATATTCCATGTTCATATATCAAGTGTTGATATTAACAATAAAGAATGGTTAAGCATTGCTAATCCACACTTGGTGGGGAATTCCCACTATTCAAACGCGTGACTATAAAATAGAAACGGAACATATATACCATAAGTAACGGAAAACTGGAACAAGTAAATAATAAATAAAAGTAAAATGGATACAAATGTTTGATAGACCATGTTTGATAGATTGATCTCCTGCGTTCATTAGTCATTTCACCCGAAGAAGTTGAAACCGGGCGTGTTAGCGTCCATCTGTCTTAACACAATTCTTCCCCCTATCTACGGTTATATGTACATTGGCCATGGCCATGCTAGATAAGATGCGAGAGAAGTTGAAACCAGGTGTGTTGGCGTCAATCGGTCTCAACGCAATTCTATCCCTTATCTACGGTTAAGTTGCGGGAGAAGTTAAAACCAAGTGTGTTGGCGTCAAACGGCCCTACTCAGTTCTTGCCCCATTAACTACGTTAATAATTTACATTGGCCACGCCAGATAAGTTGATAATAGGTTAGTAAATGGCAACGCGTCATGCCTTCCTTCACCTACGTAACAAGAGAGAGAAAAACGGCTGCGAATACCGGAACTCTAACTTCTTCTACTTGTTGAGCTTTCATTTTCGCAATCGACGAAATTGACTGCTTTGAAAAAAGCTCGTTTCAATGCAATAATTACGACTTTACGTAATTCGTAACTTCCCTTCCGTAACTCCAAATAATTACGTAATTCCGTAAATCCGTAAATTACGTGCAAGCCTAATTCACGGATATGCTCATATGAAATTAATTTAACCGATAGCTATTACTACAGACAATTTCCAGCAAAAATTGAAGTTTTTGAAAATGCAAATATATACTATGAAAGTAATTTATATTCTTTGTTTTTGCTACATCCAGTAACTTTCGCCATATTTACTGATCGGGAAATTGTTTCAGGATTACACTGGAGTTCTGAAACCTTAAAAACTATATATATATATATAGAATATATCAGTGGTTCGGTGGTGCGCGCCCCACATGGCGGGCGTAGACAATTTTTTGAGGGGCGTGAAGCTAATTAAAAAAAAATCGTTAGATTTCATCTCGCCGCCTTATATTGGATATTTGCATTTCAAAACTTTCCATTTATTTCATTATTTACATTCTATCCATGTATTTTTACCGCGTTTTTTAAACAAAACATCCTTTCGCCTTACTATAAATATATGTATGTTATTTGTAGCTTATTGTTAGCTAGTTATTTTTGAGGTGGGGCGGGAGTCTTGACAAATTCTAAAATGGGGCGCGGTCAAAAAAATTTGAGAACCACTGGATTAGATATATAATTGTTAAATCAGTATAGGATAGGATGGGATAGAATTTACATATTTATCCCGGGGGAAAGGAAAGCCGATAAAGCGGCTTAATCATATGGCAAACCACGGCCTCTTGTCCTGTTACAATTCTATGTCGGGTATGGGATTAGTTAGTTATTTTTTCCGGAAGCATGGACTTGGTGGAGGAAGAAACCGTAACCGATCAGCGGTTACGTGGACCAACCTACGTATATGCCAGTTACACGGGACTCGAAACAATTTTTGTCCTCACGTAAAGGGAAGCATCCATTTATAAATGGATTCTTTACCGATAAACTGAACTTTTGATTCATTTACATATAGCATACATATATTCATATACATATAGCCTATTTGCTATTTTTATCTCACAGGTCGGTGGATTTGTTCACAGATATGGGATACGGCCGGCGAAGAAAGATATAGGGCGTTGGCGTCGGCATATTATAGAGGGGCAATAGGAGTTTTACTTGTTTATGATGTCACAAATCCTCGCTCACATGACAATTTAGCTCACTGGTTGTCTGAAATCAAAGCATATACATTACCCTCATGTCAGGTGAGAAATTGAAACTAAAACTAGCAAAACTTTGCATAAAAGTTTGCTTTATATGTTTGATTATGACATATTATTAAACATATAAAATAAAAATATAAATATAGTATAAAACTGTCCTTATCACACTGTGTTTTAATTTTTGAGGGAAGGCTCATAAAACCAATTAGTGTCGAAAACTTTATCAGTGTCGCATGCTCGTGATATATATGTGTATTAATTTTTTTTAATTATTTTTTATTAATTAACTTTTTGCAGGTAGTTCTTATCGCCAATAAAATCGACTTAAAACGGGCAAGAAAAGTTACAATAGAAAGCGGAAAAGCATTTGCAGAAAAAAATGATTTGAGGTATATTGAAGTTTCTGCCTTAGAATGCACAAATGTTGAGGCCGCTTTCACATCACTTATTGAAGATATTTACATAAAGACAATATTAGCAAAAAGTGGAGCAAATTTATTTCCCAAAAATGGAATTACTGGTACAGGAACAAATAGCCGAAAATTTCACTTAGAAGAACAATCTAATAAAGAAGTATGGACATCCGGTTGTTGTAAATAACTAGGGGTCATATTGTTGAATTTTTTCAAAGCTAACGGTATTCCAAATATGCCCTTCCATCCAAGTATTGGTATTTTTATGTTTAAAAATTCAAAACAGTTGATAGTGCATTTTACTGAGATTGTTATAATTATAGTTACCATCGTCCATTATATTTTATTTATTATATCTGTGTGCAAATCTTTACGCTTCTTGATTTAATTGCGTAGTTCCGAGGTTGTGATGGATTCGACATACCACAGCTGCGAAATTTTGCTAAAATCACGAACTTGCCAAAATTGTTTGCTCTTATGTAGAATAAGAGAATATATTATATATGTGCATGCGATATAGTCTAACACTAACTAAATGAAGTAAATTCATCGTGGTGTTATGTGCCAGAAAGAAAATGAGGCTACAAAAAAGTTTAGGATTATAAATAACGGATTGAATGCGAGTTCAAATACTTTTGGCATTAGTAAGAATAATCAATGAGTGTGCTCGTACAAAATCAAAGTATATCGATAATGTGCAAAGCTCCATAAAGGCGTATAGGTGTCGTAGACTCGTAGGGCACCCAAATTGGTGACCTTGGGAACATGGACATTCCATGTTTATTATAGAAGCAGTAGGCCTACTTTCGTCCTATGATGAAACACCTGATTTGAAGCATAAAGCTTGCAGATAAATTTTATCCCTAAATTCGCGGATCGCATATAACAAAAATTTAAATGTGCTTTTTTGATTTATTTGAGGAATCGTTGTGAACTCATAGGAACGGTTCTTATTATATTTCGCACACCAGAAGCATCCGTAGACCAATTGACAAAAACATTGCATTTTACAAATCGAAACCAGCCATACATACCGCTTCAAATCAGTAACAAAGTATTTGGATTGATTATTGTTTATATTCCAAGTTCAAAAAAAAAGTAACGGTCTGTACAACAAATGGAAAAACATGCAAAATCAAAATGGATCATTAATTGGGTAACGAAAATGTAGTTAGAGCTGGACGACACTCGTATTTATCTTTTCGTTTTTCATAAAAGTTGCTATTTTTGTTAAAGGGGTTATCCATCCTTTATCGTAAAGGAAATATCAAAAAAGAATTTGGAAAACTAATTCCTTGCATCACACGATTTTTCCCGTGGTAAGTGGCTGTAGCGTGATTCCGCTTATCTCATCGAGGACGTGGAAATAAATGTAAAGCAGAGGTTCTACGGAGAATGGTTCTACCAAAGGACAGTTGAAACTAATAGGAATCGACACGGTTTGGGCTGAGAAAAAATGGTATTTGGATAACATAGAATATATTTTCATCGCTTTAACTATTAGCAACAAGCCATGCGGCGGGTGGCGCATCGTGCTAAGCGGTCGGAATGCGCTTGTCATCTCACCTTAGATTACCTTGCAAGGGTTCGAATCTCCTGGGCATGGGGGATAATTCTATGTGAAAAGATTGCTGAACTCCTCATCGTCGTAGGGTGGTTCGCGTATCGCTGGTCGGTTACGGATTCCTCTACCATCAAGTTCATATATATATTTCGTATATATATATCCAAATACCCGGCTAAGTAATCCAATACCCGACATGGACTGATAACCGAACGAGAACAATCGACGTGGTACGACATGTTAACCTTCTCGGCGCTATTGACCCAATTCATTTGACATGGTCTTTTTAAACTTTTTTTTTTTGTCAACCATTAAGCCCTAAAGCTTCACTAATGGATTTTTAAAAGCGTGTGCTAGAGTTCTATTCAGCAATATATCTTTAAAACATGTTAAAGTTTAAGCTATTAAAGTTTTTTGCCAGCCTTCCCAATCTTCTGTATGTCCAAAGAAAACAGTGAAACCAAAATACGGTCCTTCAACAAGTCATTGGCAGTTAAAACTAATTGTAATCAAAAATTCTCGGCCTCACTTCGGCCATATTATCACATGTGAAACTGCAAAAATTAGTATTTGGTTGTATTAAGTATAAACATGAAATGGGCATGGAAACGAAAATGTTAACAACGACCATTCTACATGGTACGGGCAATATTATTGAGGATGGAAACATAGTATTTGAAATGAACACAGGTAGAGACCTGATTCAATGTAGGCTATTTCATGGGAAAAGAATGGGACTCATATTGGAGCGACGACTAAAGACCGTTATCTACTTATCTTTGATCCGAGATCTGGATCTTCAAGAGAAGCTCATGATAATCATAAAAAAGGGTTCCATTACATTTGAACCCACGTACATTTGAACCCATGACAATTGCACCTGTATGCTATTGTACCTATGAATTTTTTGTTTGTTTTACGGATAGTTGAACCCATACTAACCCTAACCCATGGGTTTTAGCACCAGCATATAGATTGAACCCGTAGATATACACATGGGTTCAAATGTACGTGGGTTCAAATGTACGGTCACCATAAAAAAGAGTTATATTGTCTGAAAAATCATATAAGTTTTTACAGTTGGATATTAAAGCGTTCGGCAAGAAGAGTTATTAGTTTGGGATATCAGTTTAGAGAAGCCGAGATGACTGCATGCTGAAGATTTTGAGTCGGTAACTGGTGTCAGAACTAAAATACGTTTATGACTGACCATCATTGGCAAATGCTCAAGATTACAAATTTAATCGCTCATCAAATTGTTTACAACTTTACAAATAAGCTTCGCCTGTGAATTTTATTTTCTAGTGTTTATGTATGCTGTTTATGAATTTATTTTTTTCAGTATGATTGTCGTGATGTGTTTTCCCACTTATGTGAGTGCGCGGCGGTGTGGCTCATCGTGCTAAGCGTTAGGAATACGTTCGCCACCGCACCTCTGTTTACTCTGCGTGGGTTCGCAAGTTCGATTCCCACGCAGGATGATTATGTGCGAGAGGATTGCTGGACTCCTCGCCGCCGTAGGGGGGTTCACGTAACCGCTGATCGGTTACGGCTTCCTCCACCACCAAGTCCATGCTTCCGAAAAACAAATAACTAACTAATCCCATACCCGACATGGAATGGTGACCGGACGAGAGGCCGTGGTTCGCCATATGGATAAGCCGTCTTATCGGCTTTCCTCTCCCCCGGTATAAATATGTAAATCCTATATAGTGGGAGCTGACTTCGATGACTGTATGGTCGTATCGCTTCCTCCTGTCCATACCAAAAAAAAAATTTTTTGCTAGTGCTATTTTACTGATGACTATTTTTTACGTTTTTTGGTTGACGAAATAATAAAATCTCTCTCTCTCTATCCTAATGGACCTTTCCCCGAGCATCGACTTCCTTGTTTACTTTGTGACATTGGCCAATCAGCAAGATGCAAAAAGTGACGTAACTAATGACCTCTTTTCGTATTCGCTCAGACACTTTTCTCACTCAGACAGATTTTCAAGTGTGGTTGTAAACATGACCTCGTTTTCGCGTTTTCGAACTCTATTCGTTAGTTTTCAGTTGTGTTTCGGAAACTTAAATATAAATCAGATAATTCAATGATCACTCTGTCTTCCTAGGTGTTTTAATTAAATTGCAGTAATAAAAATTAGTTTAGAAATAGCTGTGATAGACTAGCCTGAAATTCTTTACCGGTACTTTTAAAAAACAAATCGTTGTATGCGATGATTATAATGATGGTCCGAAACACATACTCCATTTTACAAGCGCCAACTCGCAAATACACTCCTAAAATAGCCTCGAAAATTTTGCAAAGGTAAAGTATAAGGAGAATTTTCCGGGGGACAAAGGTCGGGGAAAGGTCCATACGCACAAACGCTAGTTAGTGTAGTTACAGCCCTTGTTATTTATAAACTTTTTCCGGTTTTATCCATTTTCTCGATCTTTCAGTCGTCGTTGTCTGCGTTCTTTGTTTTCGTTTATTCGTATTCTGTGTTGTAGACAAAAGATCGAAATGAAATTGTATTGGTGTATTCTATTTTTTGTTTTGTGTGTTAAATAAGCTTATACTAAAAGGCTACCTCTCCGGAGTTACATATCGGAGTTGACTCATTTCCCCCATTATTCGCTGTTTTAATATGGCACAACGGTGGCGAGCGTATTCCTAACGCTTAGCACTGAGACGATAAGTATAAGTTTATTTCGACTCCATAACACCGCCTCGCAAATCAAGAAATTTATCAAGTAGGCTACATTGTTCTACCTTGTTATTACTGTATTAGCATTTGCACTTTTATAGATATTTGTTCCAATAGCACAGCAAGTACCGTATTCCAAATAGAATTCAGCATTCTTCAGGGCTAGCTTCAGAGGTGTTTATGTGTCTATCATTGAGAGCGAGTGTGGGCTGGAGTACCGTACCGGTAACTTGGGTATTGCATGAGTTCACGCTTCTGAAAACAAAATACTGAAATAAATAGCTAACTAATCATATAGCCTACTTGCATATCCAAATGGACTGAGGCTGTTGTTTCGCCATATGATTATCGAATTTTCTCTCCTCAGGATAAGTAATAAAATCCTATCCTATTTTAGCTTGTTTGATTTGGCTGTTTTCAGTTAGGATAGGATTTACATATTTATCCCGGGGAGAGGAAAGCCGATAAGACGGCTTAATCATATGGCGAACCACGGCCTCTCGTCCGGATACCGGTACCAGTCCAGGTCGGGTATGGGATCAGTTAGCCAGATATTTGTTTTCGGAAGCATGGACTTGATGGTGGAGGAAGCCATAACCGACCAGCGGTTACGTGAACCTCCCTACGGCGGCGAGGAGTCCAGCAATCCTCTCGCACATGATCATCCTTGCATGGGCTTCGAATCTGCGATCCCACGAAGGGTAATCAGAGATGCGGTGGCGAGCGAATTCCTAACGCTTAGCACGATGCGCCACACCGAGTTTAGGATAATATTCATACCATACATAACGTATTGATATTTTAGTTTGGTTTTGATTACCAAGTTAGACCCAGGATAATGTGTGCATGCATTTACCACTTTATTGCCTGTCACAGGCATTTATTATCATAATGGTCATGGTGTTTATGAATTAGCCCACTGGTATTATTGGCACTTGGCCACCTTATGTTGTCTCTGGTTTAAGTTTAAAATTATAATGTGGACAGTATTGTTAAATTGTTTACAGACATACCTGTGCCAATGCAGGAACATGCTGATCATACTTGTTACTAATGGCCACAATTAGGGCAATCGGACGAGAAACTGTTCATCAAATATGTTCTGGACAAGTTATTCTCGACTTGGCAACAGCTGTGAAAGAATTGCTTGAAAACAGTGTTGATGCTGGTGCTGACTCTATTGAAATAAAATTGAAGGATTATGGTCGAACTTGTATTGAAGTGACGGATAATGGCAAGGGAGTTGAAGAGAACGATTACGAAGGTCTTACATTGAAACATCACACTTCAAAATTGCAAAATTTTTCAGACCTGTTATCTGTAGAAACTTTTGGTTTTCGTGGTGAAGCATTGAGCTCATTATGTTCTTTGTGCTCATTATCTATCACAACACGATGCAAGAGTGCCAAAATTGCTCATAAACTTGTGTATAACAATAATGGTGGAATAATGAAAAAATCATGTGTAGCCCGCCAACTGGGAACTACAGTTGTTCTGAAAGACTTGTTTTGTACTTTGCCTGTGCGGCATAAAGAATTTGTAAAGAATATTAAAAGGGAATTTTCGAAGCTTATAAATTTGCTTAATGCATATTGTTTAATCTACACCAATGTACGAATATCATGCATCAACGAAACATCAAAGGGTAACCGAAGTGTAATTTTAATTACAAGTGGCAAAGGGTCAATATTGGACAATATTTCGGCACTGTTTGGAAGTAAGCAACACTCTACATTGTTAGAATTCAAGCAAATACCTCCCTCTCCGGAAGTGTGTGGAAATTATTTTGTAAACCATGACAAAGCCATTGAGTTCTTTAATCAATGTAAAGTCAGTGGCTATATTTCATCATGTGCTATGAGTTTGGGTCGGAATGCGAGTGATAGACAATATTATTCAATAAACAAAAGGCCATGTGTAATACCAAAAATTATGAAAGTTGTAAATGAAGTATTTCACATGTTCAATCGATATCAGTATCCTTTTGTACAACTTGACATAAGTACTAAAAGTGATGAAGTTGATGTTAATGTTACACCTGACAAGAGAAAAATTTTTATACAACAGGAAAAATATATTCTAGCAATAATTAAGACGTCCTTACTTGAATTGTTCAATGGAAAGGATCATGCTATAGGAGTGACAAAAGCAATATCAAATAATGCAAACATACTGGCTCATACTGTTGAGAAAAATATTAGCATTGATGAAGCTATTGATGATATCAAATCGAAGCCTTATGATTTCCAATTAGTCAAGAGTGAACCTTATGAGAAAATACAAAATTGCAGGAAAATCAATGTCAAACGGCCATTCTTACATACATCAACAAATTATGAAACTGATCTCATACCATTGTTATCAAGTAATAAACGCTTAAAACAAGACCAGAACAGCAATAAAAATTATGAAGAGTCTCATAAACATTTTCAAGCTGATTCTATACCAACTTATGCTGAAAATCGTGAAGTTGAAGATAAAATTCCACAGAAAGAGCCATCTTTCAAAAAATTTCACACTGCCATAGATGATCCAGCAGATAAAAGTACAAAAATACAGTGTCATTTGAGATATTCTTTCGCGGTAATGTGCAATAACATGAAAGCCAAATTCATCCATTTGTCCAGGAGTTCAGATGAATCTCGGAAAAAGTTGCATCCTGTATTTAAAGCAAAAATTTCTTCAGATCAAAACAAAAAAGCAGAAGCTGAATTGGTAAAATACTTCAACAAATCATCTTTTGAAAATATGGAAATCATTGGTCAATTCAATATGGGATTTATCATAGGTAAACACAGAAATGATTTGTTTATCATAGATCAGCATGCGGCCGATGAAAAATATAATTTTGAAGAGTTACAAAGTTCAACAATTCTTCTGGGACAACCTCTCATCATACCTCAGTTATTAGAATTAACTGCTGGGGAACAGCTAATTGTGATAGAAAATGCAGAAATATTTCAAAAGAATGGATTTGTATTTAATATTGCATCAAACAACGATACTCAAGATACAATGTATTTAACAAAAGTTCCAATGAGTCGCAATTGGACATTCGGTGCATCTGATGTATCAGAATTGATTTTTATGTTAACTGACACTCCGCACACTAACTGTAGACCATCACGTGTGCGGCAAATGTTTGCTTCGAGAGCTTGCAGAAAATCAATCATGGTTGGCACCGCACTCACAGAAAATCAAATGAAAGATGTGGTCAATCATATGGCGAAAATGAATCAGCCTTGGAACTGCCCACATGGAAGGCCAACGATGAGGCATTTGACTGATTTATCAATGCTTGTTAAGCCTGGTAACTCTTGATGGTTCTTCATTTGTCGATACACGACTGTCAAATGTTGATGATTGATAACGATAGGTAAATTTGCATTGTTGACTTTATTATTTCAATACAATGTTATTTCGGTCTTGATCTATGACACACAAATTGAACAACACAGAAAAGGGTTACATGAAAGTTCAAAAAAATAGTATAAACCTAGAAAAACCAAGTGCTGTAATCAGCGCTGCTACCCACGTCCACACTCTGAAAAGCAACAATCTTATTGAGGTGAAAATAATGAAGTCATAAACATGAGAAGAAAAAAGGCCCCCAGACTTGTAGTTTCCAACAATTTCATATAACATGCCGTTCCGCTGTTTCACGTCCAATATCTTTGAAGTGTTGCTAGTTTTGAATTTATTACAGTTTAGTAAAGCAGACTATTTTTGTGAGTTTTCAATTTCTTCCTAACGCCGCGTTGTTGTTTTCCAACCTGTACAAACGAATGTCGATGCTTGGTTGCAGCTTCACACTTACATGAAAAAATGCTGCTTTTAAATAAAACTCAATTTTGTGGTCATGATTATATGTATTTTAAAGTTCGTAAACATGTAGGCCCAAGTAATAAAGGCAAAAAGTCGACAGTTCTTCCGAATATCCTTTGAAATGCTGAAAAAGATCACTCATGTTCCCTAAACCTTGTACAGCAGATAAATGACCTGCAACATAAACTGCTCGCAAAATTTCATCAGGTAGTTTCTATCGTTACTAAGAATAAAGGCAGACAATACGTAACAGATTCAAACAATTCAAGACACAAAATGCACATGGAGGCACTCGGGGTGAATTCACTCTTGAGATATTTCTCAAACGTCAAAACCTTTTGTGAATAATAAAACAGTCTATTACTCTATTACTGCAATATATCGTCTTTTAAGATTCGTGGAACTAAATTGGAACTAAATTTTCTCGTCTGAGGTTTTAAACGGCATTCTATTCATGAACTGATCATAACTTTTGTCTGCCATTTTATTCCATTTCAAATTCTATCATCTCGGTGCCATCCCAAACTGCCATATATATTCGATAACAATGTGTGACTATTAAACTGTTTCATGTGTCAATAACAACTCCTTAACTAGAATTCGGTTGGAAACCGAAGACTTATCATCGGAGGTTAGGGGATCCCCCAAACCAGTGGTCTTACTCCATAGTGACACCGTGTGTCCTATCACTAATTAATTAATAACTCGCTAATTATACGACAAAATCGATAGGCTCCTGTTCCAAACTATGATGAATGCACATGCAAAATTTGGAGCAGATTCAACCTCGCTTTCGTGAGATATCGCGTGTATCTAACAGACAAATACCTATCAACATACTTACCGATCTTAAGATCGATAAGTAACAGTGGGTATCGACAGACACCAAGATTGTGGAGTGTTACTAACTTCAAGGTAACTTGTAGTCTTTTCTCGCTCACGAAGAGACAACAAATCCGGGCGCTGCAGCGAGCGAGGTATCCGAAGTTGTGGCAGATTAAAAATTAGAAGCGCTAATTTCTTTTGTGGAACTTATATATATATTTGTCCTATTTTGACAATCCTACCACTGCAAAACGAGTCAAAATAGGCAGACGGAACAATAATCGTCAACATGACAATAGCCCATACACCCGCGGACTACTTGTTCTAGGGTAGATCCAAAGTGACTATAAACCTTTATAGTCACTTTGGGTAGATCATGCTTCCGAAAACGAATAACTGGCCAACTGATCCCATACCCGACCTGGACTGGTAACCGGACGAGAGGCCGTGGTTCGCCATATGATTAAGCCGTCTCTCCCCCGGGATAAATATGTAAATCCTATCCTATCACGCAAATTCCGCCTCGACAAATTACGGTCCATGGTTAGGGATGGCGGAATCGATTTTTCGTGGATTCGACTAGAATTGATTCCGATGACTTGGAATCGATTCTTGGAGTTAAAACTTGGATTGCGAACCAAGTTTAACGTTTTTTTTAAATATCCGACAGACCGGAATAGCAAAATAGCTCTTCAATAGAAAGAAGAAGCACTACAACAAAGATCGGGTAACATATTGATAGTCGAACATTGGTTACCAAGTGTACCACATTATAATTGGACTTCCGCTTTTGGTGACCTATATACCGTCTGATAAAATTCCTGCCAAGTATTTTGCTAGATTTCCGCTTTTTTGTGACACCTACAACACACGGCCCGGTGATAGCTTTTTATGCGGGAGGTGATTCAAGAATATATATAGGTCTGGGAAGTCATTTCATAATTTTGTGCCTTTTTTAAAATGTTGATGACATTCCTGATCATATATGATTCACTTGTACTTGGAGCACTGAGCAAAACAAAAAAAATTATATCCAACTAGTGTATTGAATATTTTATAATGCCTTGAACTTCCTTAATATTCATTCCCCGTGGTTCATGCATCCCAAGTAGGTGGATCAAATAGCTTACGATTAGGGCTGGGAAGGGTTAACCATTTAACCTATTTTAGATGGTTAACGATTACGATTAATTCTAACCGATATGTTAGTCGTTGATTCTAACCGATAACTGACATCTCAGGCACAAATCTTCTTCATACTGTACAATTTCTTCAAAACTGATCACGTCATCGCAAATTTATCTCCTGTGGCGTGTAATTCAAGAGAATTAAAGAACTGTATTGGTAAGGATCCAATAAATGTGGAAAATAATTGAAGTACCAAGATTGCTGATTATGAAAATTTACAATGATAAATTCAGAATCAGTTTTTGGTCCAAATATATTGTTCACGATTTTGTTGCAAAATTCCAATTTTTCTTATTTTAGTCCTATTACGAGTTCGGGGACTAGCCAAGTGACTCCCGTAGTATTTGCACATGAAAGTATGCCTAACCCTAACCTAGTACACAATCACATACTACGTTCCGGTGTTTGCCATCTTGGTTCACATTCTTTGAGTACCAAAATTGTTAATTGCCAAGTTAGACCGTGTCAGCTAGCGGGTCCGGGGTTTCAAGAATCTTGGTGGTCGAAAAAGCGTTTCAATTTATACAATGGTCATATCAACATAGCAATGAGAGTCACGCATGTCATAAGATCAACAAAATCGATTGTATAATTATTTAACAGCGGGGGACTGCGATTTGATAAAGTATCGTTCTGCTTTCACGGTGTCATTAGTTTCTTCAAAATTGAAATCTTTTAATTGGCCAGTTTGCAAAAATACACTAAGGCCGCAGTTTTAAGACTATTCGCTGCCTATTGGATGATTTGGATTGCACACTGCTCTGAATATTACCCATGTTCCTAAATAGTTTCGTTAACTTGCTACAATTTCGAGGCATATCCCCCCCAACAAACCTAAGCCATTTTCAGTATTTTTACCTCCTTTAACAAATAAGAGCACACAAAAAACAAGGACACTGAAATTTATTCCTTGATAATTTATTTCATCGACCAATTTCAGGCAACAAATTCATAAGGAACAGGTGACACCAGTTCTGGATCTATTCCGTTTGACCTTACGAAATGCCCTGGTCTGGGTTGTGCAGGCTGAAAAATATTTTATATATATATTAAATAAAATCGGATTTGAAAACTGGATAAACATATTAAACCTAGGGTTACTTTGTGCTTGTTAGCTACATAAATATACTATCAATGTCAAGCTTGGCCTTCATTGACATAACCATATGGTCCAGTAATTACCCTACATACCCCCCCTAAAATTTCAACCCCCTTCCCCCCTAATTTTGAGGTGCGATTCCACACTGTAATTGCCAACTCAAGTATACTTGTATTTAAATATACAGAATATGGCATAGTTAACAATGTAGATCAGCGGTTCCCAAACCGTGGGTCAATTATGGCCTGCGAACGACCTAAAATGGTCCACCGAACTTGAGTGAAATGATTAAACGGTTGAACTTTAACTGTAAATAATACTTTTTGTGTTTACCTATTTGCGTTTTAGATACCGCCAATTGTTACACCATTATCACAGTTTAAGCACGAATATTCCATAACAATTCAATTACACCGGTATCATTTGTATACGCACCAGCATTAGGATTACATACGACAGTATTTTATACAGCCGTATATTAAGAAAGCTTAAAGATGTCACAAAACGAAAACTTGACACTGAAAAAAGACGTTTTTTAGATGAATGGCAACGTTCTTATTTCTTTATTAAAGGGAATCAAACTTCAGCGATTTGTCCTGATGGCCAACAAAATATTCCGGTTCTGAAGGAATACAACATTAGCCGTCATTATGAGACGAAGCATTCTTCAGATTATGATCAGTTGACTCGCATATTCATAATTTAATTCATTGCTAAATTCATACAGACGGAAAACAAACATGTTCAAAGTAATATCAAACGAAAGTGAATCTACGTTATTGGCCAGTTATATTGTAGCCCGCAACATCGCTAAAAAGAATCGCCCGTTTGTTGAAGCGGAATTTCTCCTGATATAAAAAGTAACTTTTCCAGCATCAGTCTTCCTAACAACACAACTATGAACTTAACAAATTGAAACTTCGGTTCAGACTGACAGATATTCTTTTGAATGCATTATTCCTTTTTTATATATGTAAACTTGGAATGTTTTTTGTTTAACAAAACAAGCCAAAAGTAGCTATTTATACGGGGCCGCATGCTAGTTCAGCAAATAACTTCATTAGTCACTATCAGTTGCAAATATATTGTTGAAAGTCGTGCTTGTTATTTATTCCTTGGGTATTCTATCACCTAACTATTATAATTATTAATTTTATTATATAACAAACTGCGATGCTAGATGTATCTAAAATCAATCTTGGAGCCTATTTTAGTTGTTAAGAATAGCAAAAAAATTAGAATATTCATGATAACACCGGTTTTGCCAATAGTATACTTGAATATGTAAACATTAACCTGTCTTTTCAAATTAATCTTTTGGCCAGTAGCTTTAGCTTCTTTTCTTTTTTTCTCGTTTTCTTTCACTCTTTGGACAAAAGATATCCTGGATTTCGAATGTTTGATATGCTCAATTCGAACATTAATCCTTTTTGCAATAATTCTGCCCCTGATAAATAAAATTTAACAATTTAAAACCGATATCATGATAAATTAGTCTTCATTTCTCATCGTCAAGTCGGAGACAAAAACAATATTTGTTAGGCAATGCCCGGAACACAATCATTTTTGGGCGAGATAAAAATTCTTCTACATGGGCAATTTAATTTCAAATTAATCAAAACAATAATTTAATAAAAGTAATTCAACAATATTTACATTGTTCAGAGAAATTTGCATAAATCATGATAAATTCGTAGATATGTATTTAATAATGCAGAATAGTGATCGACGGGATGAAGAGGTATGATGTCTATTTTGAAATTTTTTCAACCAATAATATTCTAAATTATTCATAAAGAACTCAGAATACAAAAAGTTTAAGGTATTCAAATCGAACATCCCTATAAAAATGTGAAACGCTCAATAATTTTGTTAAACGTGATATGGAAAATAGAAAAATTAATGTTAAAATGAGCAATAATTGTCAAATTAGTCAACAATAAAAAACAAATGGCAGGTATAAATGAAGCTTTCCAAAATATTTAAAAAAATCATTCCAGTCTTCATAACTGATCATGGAAAATGAAAGTAGTAACTCTTTTAAAATACTTTGATAGTTCTTTTATTCTAGCTCACAATATCACCTACTTGACTTGTTTGTTCACAATTATGCCAACAGCATGTTGAGTTACATTGAATATGCGACCGGTTTTACCATGGTAAACTTTGTGTGGCATACCCTGAATAATTGAGAATAAAGAAATATTTAAATATAAGCATACATTATTCCAGCCCTAGTCCTAGCTTCATCATACAATATAAGTATGTTGTTATATAACTACATTGTCACAGAACAGTAGGGCACAGTTCTCAGATTTCAAGAATAGTCCAAACATTAAAAGATAATCGAAAAACATCACCATTGTATTCTTCTGAAACAAATAATCTAATATACAAAGGAAAATTTTTTTACTATAGCATTTGGGAATTTTTAGCAAAAAAATAAAATTTTAGTCATATTGCAGCCGACGCACGTCATGATTGATTTTTAATATTGCTGAAACAAACTTGACGCATCTGCCTTCTTGCCAGAGGCCCTTGTTTCAGAGACGAATAAAGTGTTTGTTTATTGAAACAGTTGTCGAAACATCTTGGAATCGTAGAACTGTGCCCTACTGCAGATGTTCATCTTAATAATTAGGTAGATTATTCTCTAAAATGACATTATAGGATAAGCTTATCCTCAACAAACGTTTGCAAAACTACATTTGTACACCAATAGGCGTCTGGCCTATTTGCTATAAATGAAAAATTCACAGTGAAGCAGATGCAGGGATGCTCCGAAACAAATAGAATACTTTGAAAATGCAATAACAAGCAGAATACCTTCTGTACGGCACCATCACCTTTAATGTCGACAATATCTCCTTTTTTATAAACAGTAAGAAATTTCGTCAGTGGCATTCTACCTCTTTGACGAAATTGTTTTGAGAACATATACCGCGTTCCGCGGCGATATCCTTTTGTGTTAGTCATCGTGCCGTTTCTCTACCTTGTAATTGAAAAAGAATATACACGTTTAGCTACAAATAATATATTATGTATGTCACTACAGCAATATGACAGGCCTATGAAAACAATCTCGAAACCGAGGTTTGAGAGACCCCCCCCCCCCACTTGAGGAAGAGAGTGAGATTTATTGCCACAAAAACAAAATCAACACTAATATAAACAATAATAGATAATAATATAATGAAGAAAATATTTCATCAGTAATAAACAGCGATTGATTATTGTTTTGTGCGGGTCAGTGTGCAGGACCGATTAAGGTCATCTAGGCTCCCGACCCTTTTGTAAATGCTGTATATAAGGTTATCATGGCATAATATAGTACCATGGGTAAATGCAAATGGGATTAAATAAAATATATATAAGATAAAGAAATGAGTGAATGAGTCGGCAATTTAAAGTTATTATTATTAAAGTTATCAACGGGCAATTTAGGATTTTGAGAGGTCATGTACCGATGTAACCGATCATGTCCAATGAAAGAATTAAAACAGTCAAAGATTTAAAAAAAGCTTTCAAATCTTAAGAGGAACAAATATTTAATCTAAATACTAACTTAACAATCTATCCTAACATGAAAATGCCACACTCGCTTTCTTCTGTTCTATTTTTCCAGTTGGGAAAGTTAGATGTTACCGGTACTGTATATATAAAACGAAAATCCGAAGGAAAGTACGGTACTGGTCTGGAACCGTACCGTACCGGTATCTTTCCCCCGCATGGAAACCCTGTTTTACTACAACAATTTAATATCAAAATTAAAAAGTTATGAAACCTATATATAAATGAAACAATATAGCAACAAATAAAAGCTACTTGAGTCGATAAAACCAAGAAAAACGTATGCCAACAAGAGCTACTTAAAAGTCAGAAACCCACCTGCCCGGTGTCACTAGAAAAGACCGAAAATCACGTGACCAATATGTATGTACAGGTCTTGCCAGATTGTAATGGGTATTTTTCAGAATTTTATTTTTGTAAAAAACATTAAAAGAGCGAGGTTTGAATTCAGATATTTAGGTTTGTCGCATCGCAACATGTTTCATTTAAAATAATATATGAATATGGAGACTTGTTTATATGTATGTATATATATGTGATAAACTAAACTGAAAAACATTTCCAATTGATAGAACTGTCAACTAATTTTGAGCAAAATATGATCTTGCAGCTTCAGCTGGTTGAGAATATGATTTTCATATTTATCTGGAAAAAGATGGTAGTCGTTTAAATCAGGCGGCTTATTATATCAGAAACTACGGACTACTATTTGATTATTAGTTCGGGACGGATATGGCGGGGGAACCTGTCACTGGCTCACTTTGAATTTTTCTTTTTCGGAGGCTTGGCGGTGTGACCAGAGCCGTTATATAATGGCTCTGGTGTGACGCATCGTGCTAGGTGTTAGGAATACGCCCGCCATCGCACCTCCCCTGCGCGGTTTCGAGGAGATTGGAGGATTTTCAATTTTTTCCTGTTTTCATTACAAAAATCCGTTTCATACTTTTTGAATTACCCCGACTATATGGTCCGTTCGGTTGCAAGGTTGTGGCGAAGTTTTACCGAGTCCAAGAGGCGACGCAAGCTCCGCTGACCCAGATGGACGTCGCATAGTTCCGTATGGTAATCTGTGGGGTCAAATGATTCCTCGGAGGCGAATTTTACGATCACCTCTAATAATCTCCTGATCGTGAGCGACAAGAAGATACTTTGGAAAGACAGTTTCGTGTCATTCCTGGATCGGTTGCTCAATTTTTATCCCTCTCGATCAGTTTCAGATTTCGATTATGAAAGCTCGATTGAATCTTACGCCACTGCGATCCGTTCGCAGGTGGTTTCGTCATATGTGGAACCACCGGTAACGTGTGGTTACGCAAACGAGACTCGTCCACATGTTCTGTATCACTGTCGCCCAGTGATTTGGTGCAAAAGGAAATACTGGTTCACCTACCGCCAATACAATAACAGTATTTCTGTAATTGAATTACCTGATCTTTTTAATCTTGGGTTTCGCTGCTCGATAACCAGATTTGGTTCTCCGCGACTTCCCTTCCAAAGTAAAATTGTTTGATTACCTTTTTTTATATTGTTTGTGTTTGTTTTTTACTGGTTGGATAAAATAAACGGTACTCCTGAAGTATGCGCACCAAGATGTCGCACAACCTGAACCTGGTACCCAACTCGAGTTCAGGTTGTGCGCCATCTTGGTGCGCATACTTCGGGAGGTCCAAATAAACTTGACTTGACTACCTCCAGGCAGATTGGTTACCTTGGCGCGATGCCGACGTAGTAAATATGTCCACTGATCCTGTGGATCCAAATTAGTTCGGTTGTATTTTATCCCCTTCTCCACCACTTACCTCCACAAATTCACGCTCGGCGATAAACTTAGCCCACTTTTATATTAGTTTGTATCGCTTGCCCACATTATCTCAATTTTATTTTGTAGTTATTGTGCAACACTTTTCACGTTTCTTATTAATTTGATAATTTCCATCCGTTATTTTATCAGAATTTTCCACCGTTGTTGTTTAAGAATTTCACCCGGGTTGATATGAAAAGGCGAGCGGTAATTATAATTCAGTTATATACCCTTCAGATTTAGAAAGCTCCTCGCAACAACTTATTATTAATTTTGTATATGATTTGCTCGGCGAGTTGTCAGTGTATGGCGTCTTCTTATTTATTCTAATATGTATATCCGCTACTTGCCGAGTATTTATCATCAATTCTATTCATTTCTTATATTTTTCTGAGGGGCTGGCTCAGTCGTACTTTTTCTTTATATTAACATGTTATATTTTTGCATGTTTCACTCTATTCTTTATTTAGGTTAAAATACCATTTTTGCCCCTCCATTTTGCGGTAAAAAGATGTCTCTCCTAAAGCAATTCAGTATCGGCAGAAAAAGCTAGTTTTATAAATAGAATCGATTTGAAGCTGTTGAGTTGGTGATCATAGGAACATGATACAGGTAACTCAAGAGCTGAAACATCTATTGTGGGGGTTTATGAGGTAAATATCTTCTTTCAATGGAATGTGTAGTTACTTATGATGGCAATACTTTGTATTATCAGTCCATTGCAAGGACAAATAATTGCACTCTTGCATTTTGATGGCTGTTGTGTCATCAAAGTAGCTCCGAATTCGTGACCCCCTAAATGCAATCTTAAATTTCTTGGGCAACAATTTTATCTATATTGATGGTTGTTTATCCTTTTGCTGAAAATTACGCAAAAAACCTCAAGAGTTAGAACTAATGATAATAGGATTAAAATAGCACCTACAGGCTTTGCATGCCCAATTAAAACTGAATCCATTAGAATTGAGTAAATAAGGTACTGAAAAACTGTGCAATTTTCAACACTCGACAGTTTACGAAACCCTAATTTTGGAGACCTCTAAATGTTTTGACGGGTTCATAGAAGCATGTGATCTCCTTTTATAAGTCTTGAAACATAGTTATGCAAAATATCAGCAGTAATTTAGTTTATCATATATTTCAATTTAGCCGAGATGTTTTGTTCGGCCACGGCAATAAATCTAAAAGCAAATTGTGTCGGAATTAAATGTTTCATCCTCAGTTTCGATAGTGACCGAACATAACGGGAAATTTTTGCATTCCTTGCAATTTACAGCGTAAAACAAATAAATAAAATACCTCTTAAGTTCTTAAATATTATTTAGTATATCCCGGCGTCGTTCATGTTAATATAGTTAAGTTCAGTTCAAGTCTTAATTTGCCCATACTTCTTTCAACCAAGAAACAGTATTTTAGATCGAATCATTTTCACTTCATATATTGCAGATACTAGCCATATAGACAGTGCATTTAAAATTAAAATACTAACTACAACAAATGGATATCATAAACAGGAACCCCATATTACTATCACTGGCTGCCTTCAGCAAGATCAAAAAGATATCATGAAAATAAATGAACCACTGCACAACAGGAGCACACATAAGAATTTGAACCAGGGGGCCCAATCTAAAATGCAGATAAAATACAAAAAAATCCAGATAGTATTTAGATCCTAGTAATAGAAACTAGTAATAATCTTGTGGACAAATTGAAATACGCCAACGCAATACTATTTTGTGCAGCAGAAGTACTTGAATTTTTATTATTTTTGATTGACACCCGCGAAAACAGTTACAAACTAAATAGGTCTGAGTAAATGCTTTATCGCTATTATTGCGAGTCTTAAGAAAACGCGGCTATGTGAAGGTTGAAGCCTGAAGGTAAGTATTTAATCAGGTAACATTCATATAAGATGTCGACAGGCACAAGTTATTTTCCAGAAAGGGCCACTGTCAAATTAGGAAACATATATTACAAATTAAATTATCAGGAAATTAAAATTTGATAATGCATGATCGATAATAAACAATACAGACAATTATTACACGTCAACCTGTTTTTTCTTGCACCAAACCTCTAGCTGCAAGTGGGGGATACAGGAAGATATCATTTTCAGAATCTAGCTACACTCTGCTCTTATATACTCTGTAGTCTGTATATCAATGGTACTAATAAGGATGCAGCCAAAAAGATAAACTTCTATGCCCAAGGTCACATGATCACAAACTAAATACATTTTTTATGGTGACTGTGTGAAGTTACCAATTTATCGTTTGGAAGAAAAGTGAAACCATTACACTTTTTTAACATAAAATGTTAAGAGTCGAGGAAAATATTTTTGGTTCAATTGATTGCCAAAGTCGATGTGTAGTGATAGCAATCCTATTTATTTTTAAGATTTTTTTTGACCTATTCTGGGCTGGCACTGGAGATGCAGAAAATTGTCAAGTAGCTAGTTAGATATCCTATGCAAAACATATTTATAAAATTTCATTTATATAATTTACTCCTTTAATACAAAACTGAAACATGCATGCATAGATCCTGGTCTGATTAAGAAGGGTCATCAATGACAACAACTTTCAAACTGTATCAGTTTTGATAAAACTGCTTAAATTTATGTGCAGTGACCATGAGTTGACTATCAATTTTGTGCTCACAAACAAGAACTCTTGCAACACTTCTCTTTAAGTACTGTGTGCTTGAAAAAAGCTCACAAACGTTTCAACATAATCAGATTAGCACAAACCCATTTTTAATTTCTATCATTCTTTGCATTGATAAAACAAGATATAACCAGATTCAGAGTTTTTTTGAATGTCTGCTGATAATCCGTAAAAATCTTCGATTGTATTTGGTTCTATTTTTTCAACAATATCATCATCAAACAAGAGCCACAGTCCATGGCTTTTAACTATAGTGATGTAATGTCCACGACTTGGCCCACTGAAAGTAAATTAATATGATAATGATGAGAGTTTATCAATATTTTGAATGGATTAGGTTTCAGAAAGAATAGTTGCTCACAGTACCAGTAAATAGCGGCGATGTGGTTCATCGTGCTAGGAATACATCAGTGTTAAGAATGCACTCGCCATCGCACCTCTGATTACTCTGCGTGGGTTCGCAAGTTCGAATACCATGCGGGGATAGTTATGTGCAAGATATTCCATATACTAGGTGTTTTATGCAAAAGGTATTGACTTATTTTGAGACCAACTTCTAATTTGCTTCGAAGGTTTTATGAATTTTAAGAATATTTCACACTTAAAGACAGTCATTCATATAATAATGGGACATTACTTAGACCATTTTCATTATGTACAAATGAAGCATACCTTCCACAATGAACAACAACAGCAATTAGGTCATAAAGTCGTTCTGCATTAGTTGCATCATCTGATGTATTGAACAATCTTAATTCAAATGGAAACACAACCCGGTATGAAAGCTTAGTATATCGTTGAAGGCTGTCCATTTTGAATCTTTTCAAGTGTAAAGCGAGTATAACAGGAAGCTTTTTGACTCTCATTCTGAAAAAAAACGAGTTTGTAAGCATTGAATTATTATCTGTATTAGTCAGAACAATGAGTATAATTATATCAGTCATAAACTATTTATTCTAAATTATTCCATCAGCTTCCACAGGACCTCATACCCGCAAAATAGTTCTAGAAAGTCACTACCTCCTACAAACATGTAGGACAAATTTAATTAATTAATTCTCCTCGAATCATGGCTGTGATCACTCAACTTAATGACAGTGATGCACACACACGTAAGTGTGAACAGATGGGTCTTTTCCATCAATCGTTAGGTTACCAGTGACCTTACTCATCATATCTAAGTATTTGACTTGAATTGATATCTGTTTCCTAAAATATATCGATGAAATTGGATCTCTCATATCTATCTATCCACCAGTGCATATTTCAATTGAGCTATCACATTTAGGGCGATGATCGGTTGTCTACTCTAAATCGACTCAATCAAATTACCAAAGAATATCGAATACAATTGACTGACAATCAATTAATAACTCAAACTGTATATGCTTTCTCATCCATGAAGTGTCACCTCAATGTGCTTAATATATTTTTACAGCTGTCGTAACCATTTAGCTGTGAGCCCTTAACTTCTCGCTAAACTCTTTTAATATATAACTTTTCCTACCAAAAAAATTTTTCACAAGAATTTTCATTATATCCATCTTGAATTAAACGGCTTCATGAATCATGTCTACCACTAACAGCTATTTATAGTGAACAATGCACACTCAATTCTGTACAAATTCAGTAACTCTTGACATTCCAGTAATTGCCAGAGACCTCGGTTAGAGGTACTCACTCTTGAGCGGATGATTATCACTTTATTTTGAGCAAATTATCGTAAAAATGAAAGACTAAAATTGAAAATATTTGTTTGCAAAAAAATTACCTAATACAGGTTGAGGTGATATCTATCTATGAAACAAGTCCAGAGAAGCAACATTCCTCTCATGAAAAGGTTCTTATTATTTGAACACTATATTCGTCATTACAAACTATAAAAAGTATTGAAATACCTTTTTTCTGCCTCCTGTTTACTGCAACAAACTTCACAGTCATATTTATGTTCACCAGACAAAGTTTCCGTGTTACTGAAGCCTCTGAAAAAATATATATACATATCACAAATTACATTTTGAAAGTAAAATACCCATAATTTATTTTTTCTGATTCAAACAAGAAAATAATCATTCATTGGAAAAGTTCATTATTCATTCTGAAGGGTAAAAACTTAGAAACAAGAACAACTACTTGTTTCTCGTACCTAGTATCCATAGACCGCAATGTAAATACCTATATAATCAGTATGGAAATTATGAAGTCTTAGCCCAAATCCCATTCAGAACATCAAATAAATTGTAGTACAAAAACTTAGGAATTTTCAAACTATATAATAAATATTTTAAAATGTTTCACAGCATATTTTTGGTATTACATAGAATAGATAGATTACATAAATATATCAGATCGGCTTCTTTAAAATACCTGTGGTATAAGTGATACATTGGTACCATTGCTAGGCTTCCAAAAGATATGAATAAACTGTAAGTCATCGCATAGAAAGCAAAATATTAGGTGTGCTATTCATACAGAACAAAGTTAGTCAAGAACCTCTTGTAAGTTTAATGATTGCAAAAGAATACAACTATTTTGCAACACTAATACCATAAACTGAACGTTACATACCTGAGACAGTGTGATATTGATGTATTCTGTTCGACATCAACTGAAAGATCCAAAAAATCTTCATCTTTACTGCTGACCTGAAGCATTGTAAAATAAATACAATTGCTTTTATAGTTAATGACTGCTATATTGTCTTTACTTCAGTTGACTCATTAATCACATTTCTATCATTTCGAGCTGGGATTAGTCAGTCAGAAATCCAAAACCAAACTATCTCCTCTTCTGACTATGCCAAAAGACAATATTTCCAAATATAGAATAATATATCCTAAAATTGTGTCATGTTATGCAAAGAAGGCATGAAAGTAAACGTAAATTCAATGTCATTGAATTAAAATACATATTAAGTTACAGATATATTTTTGATGTTTGATTGAGTGTCAATTTTTTTCTAGTTTTCAAGAGATGAATTGAGTGTTTTTTGTATGAAACATTGAACATAATTAAATCTGAACCAATTCTGATACTCGATTCTTTTTGGATTTCCCTGTTATGATCCAAGAGTTTTAAAAAATGATGGGTAGTGGGTTGAATGAGAGAAAAATTCAATTTCAATTTTGTTATTAAAGGTTGCTTTCTATCTAGGTTTTGCTTCAACACCATTGGCAAAGTTTTCAAAAAGATATTTAAACAGATGGACAGATATGGCTATTTCATAGTTCTAATATTTGCAATAAACTGAGAGCGCCTTGAAATTCGAAATCGAATTAGCTACAACAAAAACATTGTGAATTCTCATGTGCATTGCAACAATTAGACTGCAAAAAACACTCACGTATTTTAAATAATATTGAGCTATTCAATATACCATCCACGGTGCTCCAGAAGCGTGTGTATCAATATGGAGGTTAACTAATATTGTTCGCCTACTTTACATCAAGTTGTGTAAAGGGAGTAAAACCTATGGGGTATATTCACTTGGCTAACACAGACCATCCCCGAACTCGTAATAGAACTAAAATAAGGGAAATCAAAATTAAAGTATGGACTAACCCTAACCTGGTACATACACCACAGGACCCCATCCACTACATACAACATAAATTTAATGATCATTTCCATTTTAGTACATTTAAAAATTATGGGAAAAGAAAATATTGTTTGCTTACTGTTTCACAAGTGAGACATCGGGTTTCATTTGTTAGCGTTCCTTGAAATATTTCATGCACCCATGTAGATGTAGAGTCATTATCTCCCATACCTCTCATTCTATCATATGGATAAGATGCATGACTATTTTCATCTGTTTCCAAACTTGCGCAATCGCCGTTTTGATTCTTTTTGCGTCCCCACTTTATTAAAGGAGATGAAGAAGATGAAGACTCTGTGTTGCGAGTTGGTCGCTGCAATGAACTTGTCAAAGAAGACTTGGCACTACTACTCGAAGAGTATTCGCTATTCTCATTGACAATACATAATTCACTGTTTGGGATAGAATCTGGAGTACCATTAGCTAAAATCTTTGTCGAGTTTGTTTCCTCCTGATTAATGGATGAGCCAGTTCCAGAGGATGAAGAAACTGTTGATGCATTACCACCATCGAGGTTTGGATTTTCAGAATGTGCTTTCAATTTTAAACTTGTTAGAAAAGAGCTTGCACCAATGCGGTTAGTGAGGGGTACTCCATTTCCATCATTTGACGAGTCTTGCTTTTCAGGTTTTATTTTGTCTTTTCTGCCTCGACTAAACATAGATTTTCTGTCCTTTCTAACTTCTCCAATTGAGTGCTTATCATCCAATTTGCTTTGATGTAATCTCTGCTTTTCAAGTTGCGCCTTTTTCTCAGCTTTGAGCACATCGGCAATGTAGTTGAGCAGATAATTAATGAATTCATGTGCATCATGTTGCAGATAATTGTCGAATTGTTCTAGAAATACAGATAGTGATGTGGTTAAATGTGAATAATACCAACTTGCAGAATTACATGAGTCTGTTAGAAAGCAACATTCTAAACATAGAAATATCAAAGAAACTGAGCATCGATGTAAGATGTACCTATTATTTTAAACAAGTGTTAATGATTTTATGATATGTTATTTCTACATGCATAACTTATTCATTATCGCTTTCGATGAATAAAAAATTTCAGTCCTTGCATGTTTTTCAAATTTGTTGGTGTGGTAGATCATGCTGTCAATTATTTGTTTGAGAGTTGCACAAAGAGGGAACTGCTATGATCCCGAATACTATTGTATGTGCGGCATTAAGTTTTGAAGATATATAAAACTTATCATAGAAAATCACAGCATAATCAATCTCATATACCGGCATATACCTCATATACCGGTAGTTACCTATTTACATACAAAGCCTTTCATAATACCTAGGAATTCCAGAACAAATAGTGGTTAATAGGTATAACTGAACATTAGTACCCAATATTAGTATAAAACTTGGTTTGAAATGTTTGACTAAAAGCCATGAGGGCAAACAATTCAACAATAGTCTATTTGTTAGAGCTGCCAAACAAATATAAAATCATGATGGCTCCTGAATAGCGGCACACTCTTCTCATAAATACAAAATTGCTTCTCCTCGCTCGAGCTTGAAAGTCAAATATCTCATTCGCTCACTGTTGAAGTATCGTAATTACAACGTTACTTTTACAACAATCAAACGTTACTTTTACAACAATCACTACGTACCCTACCCTATCATTGAGTAAGTTTCTCCACTGGTATTATTAAATCATTGATAAAAAAAGAAAATTCAGGCTTATTTATGGACTGTGACATTAGATGGTACATTCTTGCATAATATAAAATTTACACGAAAAAAATCATTTTCTAATGAGCAAATAATGTCTCACCATTTTCTTTTCTCAATTTGGCAACAAATTTCTTTGGCTGTATGACCCCAACTTTCTTCTTTTGTGTTGTTATGCTGTGGAAAAGATCGCAGAGACAAGAGAGTAATGTTTCCTTTTTATTCCCCCCATGCTTTCCATTCAGTTGCTGACGATACTGAAGAACTTTTTCTCGGAATGGTGGACAGAAAAAGAGAGCTTGTAGTACAGAGTTGCAGTAACAAGTATTCCCAAACTGAAAGATAATGAACTGAAATCGAACAATCTCTCTAACCAGAAAAAAGGCTTGGCGGTGTGGCGCACTGTGCTAATCGTTAGGAATACACCCGCCGCTGCACCTCTGATTACCCTGCGTGAGTTAGCAGGTTCGAATCCCATGCAAATGGTTATGTGCTAGACTCTCCTTTTTTCTTTCGTGGCCCACTTTAGTTGCATAAAAACTCTGTGGCCCACTAACTTTCTCATGCAAGGGAAAAACTACAAGAAAAGCAAGATTCTTTTTGCAAAAATAAATACTTTCACTTTAATACTCAGAATGAAAAGCAGCAGCATCATTCATTGCTACTACAATAAAAATTTGACTATAATGACAAATGAAATTAAACTTTCCAATAACCATAGTATTTTGTAATAGGCTTGTGGCCCACTTGAAAATGTCTCTATGGCCCAGCAGTAGGCCATGGCCCACTGGTTGAGAACCAGTGTGCTAGAGGATCGCTGCAATCCTCGCCGCCGTAGGGATATAAATGGTTCCATAACCCGGCCCGCCAAGCCATTTAGTGTGGCCCTTGTCAATACTCTTGATTTTTACCCATCAAGCATAAAATCCCAATCCGACAGTTTAATTAATTAAGACCTTGTGTATCTTTTTATTGCTTAGATAGAAACAGTAATTTGATTATGACAGTACGTGACGTAAGCATTCTTTGGATTTGTGGTTTAGACTCGTTCAGTTATAAGCTCTGTCTAGCAGATTACGTTTATAGATAAAATGTGTTATCTCACTAGCCAGGAATTGTTGTTAACCGTCATTGCAAAGTGAGTGAAGCTTTCAGTCTGGCATTGGATGAGAGCAATGATATCAGTGACACAAGTTTGCGTTCAACTCACTATTCTGCAAGAAACCCTAATATTGCCGTAAGATAACTAGCAAAAATAAACAATTTTTGTACCGGTAATTACGAGAAAGTCCATATTAAATAAAGGTGCGGCCCGCGGCTCCACCCAGTTACTTGAATTTGGCCCGCCGGTGAAAAAGGTTGCACACCCCTGTACTAGACCATTGGTTCTCAAACTGGGGTCCGCGGCCGATTAGGGGTCTGCGAAGCGATTTTAGGGGGACCGTGAGACAGCTTTAACTTCGGCACAGAAGCACTTTGATTTGAAGTAAAATTTTGATGTCATGCTTTCACAGTGTTTCTCCAAAGCACGACACGCTCTACCGAAGACAATATTACGTAACAAACTTTGACTAAGCTAGTAAGTTGAAACTTAGACTATTTCGATAAGTACTACCAAACTCCTACAGTAATCAAATTAAAAGTCATGTCACATACATTGATGAATCCAAAATAATGTTCATTTGGAGGAAATTGTTCTGGCCCGATATCTTTGACAAGTGCTGAAGCGTTTGCTCCCTGTAAAAAGCATTGAATAATTGGTATCAGAAACAATAAATCATGTGTAATTGCGAATCAGTAATACCAAACCAAAGACTGAAAGATAAAAAAACTCACCATTATGCTTGGAAGACACCCCTTCATGAAATCTTACATCTAGTAATAGGATTTTATGGCTATATACTCTTGTTCCATCAAAAAATTCAAAATATTTTAAAAGGTGTCAGACTGTTAAATATTAGTTAACAGGTTTACATGGTTACATTACATTACATCATGTGTTCTGGTGAATATTGAGAAAAATATAGAAGCACATAGTTTTACTTTCAAAAGTAATGAGTTTAATGTTCCACATGTACAATAGCAGATATAGTTGCTACAATCACCATGTGACAGAAAGAGCCTTGCAAATATTTCGCAGAACCTATGATGTCAATAGGGGCGACTGCAACTGTTTTTAATGTTCCAACACATTAACCATCTATTACTGTACTATTAAGAAAGCATACTGTACACATTTTATATTGTCATATAGTCTACTTAAAAAACATGCAAAACTAAAAGTTTGTAAGATAAATATATTGTGTTAATTCACCAAATATTAACAAACACATTAATGCTGCAATGCAAAATATTCCTAAACAAGGGGGACTGCATAATATATAATAACTTCTCGTAATTACTGTAAAGGCTGAGCACTTCTGCACTCTCAGAAGAAATGAGAACCAATATATCCTTATGTGACCACAAAGAGTTCATCAATCCTCTCACACATATTGGTACACAGATGTTCCTGTGTTTCGAAATAGAGATTTCGGCTCAAGCAGGCTCGAGTTTGGAGATATGCTTATTAACAATGCTTGATGCAATTAAAGATGAGGCTCCATTATGAAGTATCAAAATAGTAGCACAAAATTACTTGGGTTGAACATAATTAAACCCTAGTTTTATGGCGATAAATAGTGAATTTTTAAAGGAATTATCCAGCGTCCAATGCAAATAGCTTGGTCAGTAGGTTTTATACAAATTGTACCACATGCATGCACTTGTTAGAAATCAAGGATCGAGTTGTTTTGTTTGTGATGGAACAATACGATACAATTTATTATGGCATTCTGAAAACACCAAACTCGATGAAATGAACAAAACAACAGAAATGCTCAGAAAAAGATCAAAACTAATGAATAAAGTTTATATTGCGCAATGCACATGCTCATTTACCATAAGTAACACAAATAATATATCCAAAAATAATAAAAATACTTGATGAGCAGCAGTAAAAGGCTCCTCGGTCATTTCACATGAAAAAGTGAGTCACACATACAAGTTGGAAAAAATGATAACAAAGTTGATCAGAGTGTGTCTGACACAATCCTGCAATCGTGTTTTAGCAAAATAAACGCATTTGGACACCGCTTCTTCCACAATAAGTACATGCATCTGAAAAAAAACCAATATCCCCACTAGCAACAGAGCTATCTAATCTCACCTCACCACAGTACTGCCTTACCAAAACGGTCAAAACCCAGTTCTGCAGTTCATTCAGTCATTTGAAAAATAGGTACCGGTACAGTTCTGCAGTACGGTAACCGAATGCTAAATACAGAAATAATTTGAAGTTTACAATGAGTCAGAACGCTATAAACCTTTCTCAAGGTTTTGTTTGCTCTGCTGATTCTATAATCTGTTTTTGTTTCACTTTATTTGTTCTCAATAACTATTTGGGGTCCACCTGACAAAAATTACGTCATTACGACGTCACAATCACGTCCTGGAGCTTGCCAAATACACGTACGATCGCCCGAAATGGCATCGGCGCCGACGATGAATGACAGACTAAAGCAGTGATTCTCAAACTAGGGTTTGAGAGCCGCATGCGGCTGTCAACAACCTTTCCTGCGGCTCCCGCTAATGTTTTAAAAATTAATTATTTTCAAAGAAAATTTTTCATTGAAAACTAATCATTGACTCGAAATTAAAATGCTGAAGTCTATTAGTTAGTCGAATGGATTCCCCCGTGTTTATTTGCGTAGCGTTGACTAACCTATAAGATGCAATTGTGACGCAACAGTAAGCGTTTTCGCGGCCAATCAGACACTTTTCACTTGGAAAGATTTTATTGGCTTGCTTTCGTGGATTTTCAGTTTTTAGGATTTACATATTTATCCCGGGGGAGAGGAAAGCCGATAAGACGGCTTATCCATATGGCGAACCACGGCCTCTCGTCCGGTTACCATTCCAAGTCGGGTATGGGATTAGTTTTACTGTATTGTTTGTTTTCGGAAGCATGGACTTGGTGGTGGAGGAAGCCGTAACCGACCAGCGGTTACGTGAACCACCCAACGACGGCGAGGAGTCCAGCAATCCTCTCGCACATAACCATCCCTGCATCCCCTTTTTGTCGCATTTCCAGATCTTATGTATAAATCAAATAACTCGATGATTATTTTAATTTCTATAGCATTTTAATTTTGTTCCAGTAATCGAAAATAGTCTCGAAAAATCTGGCGATCATCTCAAGCAGCTACTGCAGCTTGCATCCTCAACGATTAAGACCCGCTTTGACAAACTTATTAGAAATCAAAGCTTAATTAAAAAGCTGTTAGGGTAGGGTGGGCAAAATTGAATCTTTTTTCGAATCGGATAATTTGAATGTTTTTTTTATACATAACAGGGATCCAGAACGTCGGAGGTCGATACTCCATTTGGAAACTAATAGAAACGTTAAAAAGTCGGCGTTTTATAATGGGTAATTTTATCATAATTGCTGATTGTCTTTGTCATCGCAATCGTTTTGGCGGCGATATCCTAAAGTTGGTATTCTATATTTCCGCCCTTTCTCGTTTTTGCAAGAATAAGCGGTCGCCGAATATCGAAATTTCATATTTCTAGTATACCCTTGCGTTCACATCAGCGATAGCTGTTGAATACATTTAAGGACTGATTTCAAAACCAAATTAATTCTATTCTAAGGTTATCCTCTGCCTTTTCAACGAAACAACACCCCGATGGTTATTATAGCTAAAATACGTACTGAGTAATGCTCAATTTTCTTTACAGAATTTGCAATTTCAGCACTTCACTTAATTATTTTGATTATGTCATGCCTTGAGGCTTAATTATTACTACCCAAATGCTTCAAAATTTAACAATTGTAATCATTTTCGATGATAATAGACGCAACAATTCGTGAACGAGTCAGTGTGCATTGTTACAACGAAATTCACGATTGATTTTACGTTCTACTCCTGGCTCAACGGCCATGCAGGGTCGAGTAAAATGTTTACATATTCGAAACATCACTTGGCAAAGGATGGAAGGGATTACTAAAGAGCTAATACAAAGTGCTTTAAAGGGAGTAGGACATGACATTTCTTATCTGGTTACAACTTAATGAGTGTTTTGCATACAAGTAACTTATACCAGCGTTTGGAAAAACTTTTGGTCATTTTTAAATCCATGCTATTTACATAACTAGAGTGTTTTAACGACCTAAAATCGCCTTTTTCACAATGAAACGCCGAAAAGTCATTTTAACATTTAATTTTAAGCAACTTTATGTTCGGTAATGCAAGAAATGGCTAATGACATGTCACCAAGCATGCCGAGTTTAAATCTGGGAAATTTATTTTAAATACCTAATCTGGTTTGACGTTTCTAAATTTACGGAACGGTCGGTACGTTTTTTTTTGCAAAAAGATGAATTGAAAGGATACGTTAAGTACAAAAATAAGCATATAACACCATAACGCAAAGACGACTTTTCAAATTTTTCTTTTTTTTCTGATAGCGAGCGCCGTTGGGAAATCTCGCACAATTCACGATTGAGTTGTAGACGCTCGAGTTCGGTGTCCAAGCAGAGCGGTGCAGGTCACGTGGTACCGGATAGTCGAATCGTAAAATACCATTCGAATATTTTATTATTCGAAAATTTTGCCCAGCCCTAGTTGTTACGGGTGTTGTTGTTACGATGACTTAGTATTTTAATTACGCGCTTAAGGTTTGTTGCTATTTTACCTTGCGTTGTTTGTGTGCGGCTCTTCATACCTTTGAGGTTTGAAATGCGACTCTGGGTCTAAAAAAGTTTGAGAACCACTTAGGCCGCGAGCCGAGGCCCTGAAAAACGCCTAGAAAGTGAGTTTCGTAGCGCACATCAGGTAACTACCTGAAAATGAATTTAAAATGTTCCTTAAAAATTTAGTAACAAATATTGCCTTGTTCCTACTTCCAAAAGTTGCACGTTTTACGGAAAAGACGCTTTTACTGAAAAAAATATGTGCTACGATCTGTCCTATATTCTCTACATTTTCGGCAATGAACGATGACTTCTGCGTGACGTAACAATTGAATCGAATCAGCTGTTAGCGAGCGGATGAATGTTAGTTATTATTGCTCGACCTTGCATTGAGTTGGGCAGCCTTTCCATAGATAGCCCTGTTTAGTTATTATTAGTTAAGTTATGCTAAGACGTTGTTGAAAAATGTATAAGTAAGTTATTAAACACTTGTAGATCCTTACCACGGATATGGGCCGTGAGACGAAGCCTTGAAAACGCCCAGAAAATGAGTTTCGTAGCGCACATCTGGTAACTAAATAAATTCTTCAGTTTTGTGTGAAAATGAACATACTGAACGCATTACAGCTTGTTCCACAATCCTGATGCGAAATTGAATATAAGAGGTTCCCGGAAATTCAATAATCATATGTTTACAACACATACATAAGAACTATGCAATTCGAGAGCCCTACAGCACACTAACACAAATGTATTCCTGTAATGTTTTGCCTGACCAAAATCGGACTTCCTCAGTCAATCCTAATTTATTAGGTAGATTACGAAAAATATGGCATACATGTAACCAACAACAAAAAATACTTTAATTGTGTGACAGGAGTCGCGAGTGACCTCGAAAGCAGCGACACCAACAACGCTGATTCACATTAGCGAATAAATTTTATGTAATAACCACAAGCAGTTTACAACAAGAACAGCATAAAAAGCTACATCCATTTTATAGAAGCTATCAAACGTATTTATTTTTAAGCAATGGAGTCACAAATTAACATCGTGAGCACGAAAACACAAATAAATCAGTTATTTCTCACTTAGAAATTTACCGGAAAAGTCAAGAAAATTAAATGAATGTACAATATGTACATAACATAGTGAACAGAAATATTACAATTAGTCTTTTTTTAGTTTATGTGGTTATGTATTTGAACAAAGGCAATATTATTTCTATAAACAGGACTACGACACTAACAAATGTCCGAAAAAAAATAAA